TTACATCTGTGGTGGTATACTAATACGAAGAAAACACAGTTGCTGAAATACAATCATTTACTAATGTACTTAATTCTGACAATAATTGTTATACTGTTCGTCTTTTGTGCATCGGTACAAAAGACTATCTCTCGCGCGCCAAGTGTGTTATTTCCTTTCTGTTTCTCCGCACGTTTCCTGCCTGAAAGTTAGCCGAATGTATACCCACTGGCCTCGATATTAATCCGATATCTCGAGGCTAGCAATAAATATACATCATCCAGAATCGCCTTTTCTCTGATTTCTAGATTAATGGGATAAACATTTGTTATCCCGCGAAGTTGTATGCTCATTTGGGTACTACTGTACATCCAGTGAAAAACGGTTTAAAACTCAACCAACCGAAGTGCCACGTCATGCATTTCCTGCCTCATATGACGCAAACCACCTACACTCTCAATGGAAGTCCGCTCCCTAATGTCTCCTCAGAGCGCGATCTTGGTTTAATAACCACAGAAAGCCTCCACACGAGTCCGAACTATGTAGGGGATGCAGCCAAGGCAAATGCGACTCTTCACTTTATGCGAAGACAGCTTGGTGCTATAACCCCGAAATTATTTTTAACCCTGTTTAAGACGTACGCGCGCCCACACTTGGAGGTTCACAACGTCATGGCACCCCCTCTGCTTAAAGGAGACATTAATCTCTTGGATCGAGTGCAGAGACGAGCAACCAAATGGGTGATAGGGTTGAAAAATAAACCGTACGACGATAGACTCCAGCTCTTGGGATTATTCCCACTGAGCTACAGGAGAATCAGAGGTGACCTGTTTATGGCGTACACCATATTAAACACGCCAAACCATCCCAATGTGAGCATCTTACCGATGCATCACCACCACTCCCCTCGAGGCAATCCTCAAAAGATTGCACATCAAAGAGCAAACACTCAGGTTCGTGCACACTTTTTCTCATTGCGAGTCGTCGCAACTTGGAATGCTCTCCCAGCCGAGGTAGTTACAGCCCCCTCAGTGGACTGCTTTAAGAAGAGACTTGATAATCACGTACTCACATACGGACTATCATCTCCCTCTTGGACAAGCTGTGCCTGATGCATATCTTGAGACCTGCTAGTTGTTACCACTGCCATCTCCTCAGATCACTTAATTAATTTAACTCGCCTATTCCTCTCCCTTGCTTACACTTCGGTCCTCTCTCACAATCTTCACTACCAATTAATAAACTAAATTCATCTATGTATTACTCAGTTCTGAAATTTTACTCATATTATCATTTTAATTTATCCTTATTACCCTTATTACTCTCCACATTGCAACTAACTGATCTCCGGTTTGGTAATGTGACGGCTGCTAGTATCCAGAAACCCTACTGCCCTGAAACAAACGTTTCATTCAAATCCCGAGACATACAAACTCACAACCAACTGCCAACTGACTAGAATTAGACATTCGAGTGGCTAGACCTCCATCCATTGGACATTACCGAACACCTGGAACCGTACCGAAAGAACAAGAATCGAGCGCGAAGAAATCAAATTGGTTTACACTAGCTCGTGAAAAAGATATTGGATATTGGATATTGGATAACAGGAGAAATCAGAGGTGATCTGATAATGTTGTACAACATATTAAGCACGCCAAACCATCCCAACGTGAGCATCTTACTGGTGCATCCCCACCACTCCCCTCGAGGCAGTCCCCGAAAAGTTGCGTACCAAAGGGAAAAAGCTTGTTCGTGCGCACTTATTCTGATTAAGAGTCGTTGCAACTTGGAATGTTCTCCTATTGGAGCTGACCACAACTACATCAGTGGACAGCTTTAAGAAGAGTCTTGTTGTTGTTATCATTTCCGTCTCCTCAGATCGCCAATCTGATCTATCTCGCCCATTATCTCTGAATCCTCTCCCTTGCTTACACTTCGGTCCTCTCTCACAATTTTCACTACCAGTTAGTAAACTGAGTTATCTAATTATTTAATTAGTTCTGAAATCCTCTTCTTATTAGCACTAGAATTTTCTCCATATTATTCTGTACATTGCAACTAACTAATCTCCGGTCTGCTAGTATGATAGCTGCTGGTATTCAGAAACCCTACTGTCCTGAATAAACGTTTTCACTCAAACCACGGTACATATAAACTCACAACCAACTGCCAAATGACTAGAATTAGACAGTCGAGTGGCTGGACATCTATTTATTGGACACTACCAAACACATGGAGCCTTACCGAAAGAACAAGAATCGAGCGCAAATTAATCAATTGGTGTATACTAGCTCTTGAAAAAGATACTGGATGTTGGATGCACGTTCAAATTGAAGCGTTGCGCATTAAGGTCGAATTCTTCATCTACTAAGATTACTCGATTGGATAGTTCGGTTTAAGGTATGTATCAATATTTAAGAGTATATGGGTGGTGTAGGCATCTAAAATTCAGAGTTAGAGCTCGCGTCATAAGTCTGATTGTTCCGTCGATAAATTACAGTTCCACCCGTGTTTTGAAATCAAACAGTGAAGTGTAGAGCTATATAAGTAAAAATAGGACATTATTCCCGACATGAATTATCGGCGCTTACCTTTAGAATCACTCTCTCTTTTATAGGAAGATAGTTGATTTTGCATATTTTAACTAATGGACCGACCATATTCTCTAATTGTATCAGTGACATTGATGATTCAAATTCTCGATATTTAGTGTGAAGTGCATTCGTCCATAGGGCTAAATTGAACTTATTATTTCGCTGGCAAAACCCCATCTATAATTTCCCACCTCTTCACTTCATCCTAATTTTTCACAATCATTTGTAATCTTCTTTTGACCCTTTTCAGTTGCAGATTGTTCTCACGATAAGTTAGGTATTGCTCAAAAGTTACTAACAAGTTGTCATAACCAAACTTGAGTGATCCTGTCATTTCGATATCGCCGTGATATATTGTTTTATGGTTTGTGCATCATACACTTTGAATGTACTTCGTCTAATATAGAAGTCCTTAGTTATTTTGCTAGTGGCTTTTGTCGTACCAAAATATACCTCCTTCCTCGAAATATAAGCTTCCTTTTTGTCTGAGTACATATGTTGTTTCATCGCTTTACTGATGCAAGAGTTTATAGCCATAATTCCTGGTTGCAAGGAAAGATATTATCGGACTTGAGAATAATGATTATAGCCCTAAAGTTGCACATAAATTATGTGGCTTTTAGCCATCGTATATAAAAGCTAGTTTTTTAAAATATGTATACCTAAAGACTTATTTGACAGAAGCTGCTGAAACAAAAAGACTAACATTTCACATTAACAGGGACTTTTAATTTCAACGAGAACCATATCGTTTCAACGACATAGTGATTTCCTGGTCTGTTCTTTTTCAAAAAAACTAGGTCAAAATGATCAATTATTTGCATCTAATTGGACGTGATGTATGTTTTGTAAACCATGTGGTTTACAGTTTGATATTTTGTGATTGTCAGTGAAGGCTTCCTACTCACCTATATTTATGTCAGTCAGTTATACATAGAATTTCGTACACACGAACATCACTTCAAGTTGCCACACCACATTAGCACGGAGATTCAATTGTCAGTTCAAATCCCGTAGTAGTATAGGTAATAGAAGATTTGGCTGTAATCATAAAGAATGATGATCGAATATATCATTCGAAATGTATATCCCGGAAAAATCAATTGAAAAAAAAACAAAAACTAACCGTTATGAGAAATTCAGAAGATTAGGATTTGAGAGAACGCAAAGAATAGATGTACCTGCGCCGTTGCAAGTGCTTTTGAGCCATGTCGTCTAACGTTTATAACCGTCGGTTACTATCATCTAGCGTACCCCAACCATGTAGTCTACATCGGCTTCGTGACGTCCGAAGAGACTCGGCTTTCATCATGAGACTTCTTAACTTCTAAATGAAGACCTAACTACCAGGGCAGAGTTTTAATGGCTCGAATTACTTTTTCTCGTGAGCGTTTCTTTAGCGAGTTAGCTTTCTACGGGATGGGGGGCAAACCCCAGGCCCACCCGGGCTCAGGACTGGCAGTAGCCCTGGGGGGTTCCGGGCAGAGTTCACCTGTATTTATGTGGGGGTTATTGCAAAGTGGTCGACTTAAATGATGACAATCAATAGTTTGTCAGTGAGATATATGCTCGACTTTATCGTCCTAAATATAATAACCGGGTGCAATTTTTCAGGTGTTGTTCCTGTACGCTATTTTGAACACAGCATGTTAATGTGGAATGAATAATTGTTATGGTGAGTTAGGTCTGCGGTTTGAAACCAAAATATTTTTGCTGACTTTCAGTTGCGACTTCCAGACTCCATGGAATCCCTAACCGTAGTTGCTACCTTGACATGGTGGTTGGGCTTGCCTATCGTGATGATCCAACCGAGCTATATTGGCTGTTCCTGTAGATTCTGCCATGCCAGGCAGGTCGATTGAAGAACGGTAAGACTAAAAGCAGCAACTTAAAGTCTGAAGGCAAAGTCTTACAATCAACTGTAGAGTGATGTGGCAACAGTAATATGTTTCCCTCGCACAACCATCACCTGCAGCGATGCTGTGTTCTCACAAGGAAGGGTTTGATTATCGCATTATAACTAGGATGTTTGTCTCTCACAGATTAAATGTTGTGGTCTTGAGAATCGTAAGCTTACTGTATTGATCTGTCTACAAACCAGAGATGAGTGACACCAAATCCTGACTCTTACTCGTTTTGGATCAAGTAAGACACTTGGTATTTGCATACATACTTTTTATCTAGTCGCTACATTTTGTCCTGTTGATATTTTTTCTTCTTTTGACCTCGTTTTATTTTTTTAAAGTACAAGGAAACCCAATCCATTGAGTTTTTTTGTAGGTATCTGTTTCGCTCCTTTCTATTTTTCTCATCCTTTTTATACTGTTACACATCATAATCTCAAGACAATCTACACATTTCCATGTTCATATTGTTTTTTACTACTTTATCTTTTCAAGTAGATTAAAAAAGTAACCTATTCTAATGTCGGACACTCCTGGTGTTATTCCTAACATGCCAATTAGTTCACATCAGTCATCTACTAGTACAAAGTCTAATACAATCAAACGAAAAGAAATATATAGATACAATGCTCCTTGGTGTATTTTCAGCATGAACTGGTCTGTCAGACCAGATAAACGCTTTCGTTTAGCTGTGGGTAGTTTCATTGAAGAGTACAACAATAAAGTTCAAATCATTTACTTAGACGACGAACAAGGAGAGTTCGTTGTACAAAGTACATTTGCACATCATTATCCAACTTCGAAAATCATGTGGATCCCTGATACAAAGTGCATTTTCCCTGATTTACTTGCAACAAGTGGTGATTATCTTCGCATTTGGAAAATAAATGAAGATTCTGAAGTTAAAAATGAATGCTTATTGAATAATAATAAGAATTCGGATTATTGTGCCCCGCTTACTTCCTTTGATTGGAATGAAGTAGATCCGAATATTATTGGAACTTCTAGTATCGATACTACTTGCACCATCTGGGCTCTTGAAGTAAGTATCATAAGGAAACCGTTTAAAATTCTTGATGAACCTTCCTTATACCTCATTGAAAAAATAAAAATCTTGTCAACATAATAGCGTTATTAATTATTAATTAATTAATTAATAATTAATAGTAATAATAATTAAATAACAATTAATTAATAATTGATAAATAAATAATTAATAATTAATTAATTACTAATTATTAAAGTGATAGTGATCTCATGAAATAAGGATAGGACACCTCTTAAAATGTACTATCAGTTATAGAGTAATAAAGATAATTTAATATACTAGTCTATAAAATAGAATTACAACCACTTTGATTTCATAAATTAATAAGCGATCTAAGTTAACAGTCTTTAGCTAAAGTAAAACACTAGTTTCTGAAAATATGTAGTGTCTAATACTGAGATTTAATTTCCCCGGTGAACATAGTATAATTTGTTTTGCTTCTCTTACTGATTAATCACTTCATACTGCCATACAGTTATTATTGTCATTCCTCTTTAGGATAGAGCTTCTCACTATTGTATTACATTATTGGGGAATATCTAAAGGATACGACTTATTTTTTTCGTTGTTTTATAATATCTTATCACATATGAGAACTTAATTTTAAATTCTTAAAATTCAAAAACGCTCCACCACCTGATATTACTTCTACTTTATGGTTAGAAAACCTATTAAGCGTTTGTTCATTTTCAGCCTGCTATGACTCATTAGTGATTCGGAAAGTGAGTGAATTGTGTTACATCAGATTGTTGTTATGAGTTATTGCATATACTAAAACAACCTGCATTCAGTTGTATTCTTCCAGTTCGGTTTGTGACCGGACTTTTCCACGAAAGGGTTTTAGACACTGTGCTTGTTCAAACTTCAGTTGATGCCTAAGGGTTTGGACCATTGTTTTAGATTGAGGATCAACCACAGTAGATTCAGTTGTATTTTGTTCACGATTATTTACTTTTCTTTTCAATTGATTGGTGAATCGTTATTTGAAAAATACTGAGCGATAAACTACTATCGTTCATTTTTCTAAAGCTCGGCAATTATCTGATTAACTGCTTAGGAACTAGCGAATGAGTGTTGATAATAGTTGTTTCATTCCTCGACTTGATTTGTTCACTAATGAATTCTTAGAAAAAACACAAGCATCAAAACGGTTTCTTAATATTCTAGTTTCCATTACTTATACAATCTGTTACGCATGCACGTGAGCACGTCAATTTGATATGCTTGAACTATTACTAGTTTACCTTAGTCGGGAAACGAGAGCGAGTATCCGGCGACAGGACATGCTACTCTAATCCGAGTGTCCCAACCCCCATTGAGTGGAAGAAGAAAACTTGATATGAAGTAGAACCTGTTTTCTACAAACATCCAGAAGGAAGACACGCATCCCGGACTGAGGATCCGGGTCCGGGTCATAAAACGTTACAGATAATGCGTATTTATACATTTTGGTCGAACAGGAAACAGCATCGAAGTCTGTGACATTGACAGTTAAGGCGACCAATAGGAAAAAAGATTTGAAGTGACATTGGTGGTCAGGACGACCATAATATTGACCAATAGGAATCTACCAATGGAATTTACACTTAGAAAATGATTCTTCATAGGATATTTGGTGAGTATCCTAACACAATCTAAACCAACTTATTGGACAACTTTAAGGTTGGTCTATAGAAGCTTGTTTTGCTGTATTTATAAAGTTTGATAATAGTTGATTTATATCATCATATACTTTGATTGTTACTTCAAAAGACTCAGCAGGTGATTGGTCATGCGAATGTCGTAAGCGGACGCGTGGAATCTCAGTTAATAGCCCATGACAAAGAAGTATATGATATAGCTTTCAGTCGTGCCGGAGGAGGAAGAGATGTTTTCGCTAGTGTTGGTAAGCAGTTTTACTTTCTGTTTGGACATTTTTTCTACAATTAACTTTGCTTAAGTTCTTGTCATGTTCCAATGAAAAACCTTATAGCGTGTTATTTTGATCAGTTACAGTAACTGAAATAGAATCATTCTAAAATTTCCACATTTTACACTTCTATTCATCAATCGGAAGACCGATATGGTGGTGCTGTCTATTGAACGAGGAACAGTCAGTCAGTGAGTTACAATGTAGAACTTCGTATATACGTACACCAGTTCAAGTTTCCACACCGCATTAGCATAGAGACTCAATTGTCAATTCGAATCTCATAGTGGTAGAGATAGTAGACGTATTAGCGTTAATGGAGAAGATTAGGGATCGAAGATATTATTAAAGAATTATAATTCAGTAAGATTAATTTAGAAAGAGATAGAGGTGATGAGGAATTCAGATTAAAATTTGAGAAGACACGAATAGTGGATGCACCTGCGCTATTGCAAACGATTTTGAGCCATGGCGTTCAAGGTTGCAAACCATCGGTTACTATAGTCTCGCGGACCCCAACCAGTCTACACTTACCGACACGACTCAGTCCAGTTGTCAGTGACTTCATGGATTTGTGCCACGAATAACATAATTAAGAAGAACATTAGGAAAGTGAAATAGGCAAGCAAAAAGTTTTTGGACCTGAGGGTATTTAATACAAATATGTGTGTGTTGATGTTTGTATATCAAACAGTAGGTTATACTATTTTATATTCCTCTAATTTAAGCAATCTGTTTAACACGTTGATTATTATTTCTGTTCAATTAGTCTATCAATTAGTCATAAACTTACTTGTTAGTTTCGTGTCATGATCTCTTATTTTATACATAATTACGTGATTTTAGAAGACTGAATAGTACAATGTACGCCCACGATTTTCGAAGTACATTGGACCGTAGATTAAGGGACAGATAAGAATATCGTGTTACTTACAGGTCATTAGCCTACATAGAAACCGTGTCAGTTGATTCCTTGTTAATAGGACTAGTCAGTCAATTCATATCATTACTACACAGATAAAGGTGTTGTGGATATGGGCTCACCAATTTTGAGGTAGACGGTTTTCGATGTATTCTTTAGGCTTCGTACACCCCGCTCCTGATAACCGTTGCTAGATAACGCTCAACAGTGCATAAATCAGAAGACGAATATGAAGTGTTGATTACGTTTATTATGGCACCACACACATCACAAAAACGACAGGCACACGAAGGTTAAATGATATGCGAGTGCCGAAGAGCGAGCGAGCAAGTCTGAGTAAGCGAATAGGGTTGTATATATATAAATGTATATATATATATATATATATATATATATATATATATATATATATATATATATATATATAGGAAAATAAATGGATCATCGAATTATTTAAGAGACTTACATTAAAGCGGATAGAATGAATATGCACGTAGGCGATAAGCAATGTTCAATTATACCCGCTCATACAAACGCGACGATAATAAAAGCCAATGTTACATATGTACGAATGACTGCTGTTAAATAAGTGAGAAAGGGTTTAACCAAATTAAATGTCAGTCAGTCAGTCAGTTGCAACGTAGAACTTCGTACGTATGTACATAAGTTCATGTTGCCATACCACATTATTAGCACAGAGACGCAAATGTCAAATCAAATCCCATAGTGATAAAGATGGTAGAGGTATTAATGTTATAATAAAGAAGACTAGGGTTTAAGATATTATTCAAAAAATATAATTCAGTGAGATAAGGTTAGAAAGACAAAGGTAGAAGTGCTGGCTAATCCAGAAGATTAGGATTTGAGAGAGCTCAAAGAGTGGATGCACCTGCGCCATTGCAAACGATTTTGAGCCATGTCGTTCAAGGTCTCTAACCATTGATGACTTTCGTCTCGCAGACCCCAACCAGGCAGTCTACATCTACCAACATGACTCAGTCCACTTGTCAGTGACTTCATGGATTTGTGCCATGTTTTGGTCTGGCCGCCTCTAGCTTTCTTCCAACCTACTCCTACACCACAAAACATAGCTCGTCGAGGCAGTCGGTGGTTAGGCATACGTAACACATGTCCCAACCACCTCAACTGATGAAGTTTCACCACTTCATCGATTGATCTGCCATCCTTACCTAGTACTCGTTTCCTAACGACAGCATTGCTTACTCGGCTGTCCCACGATATACGAGCAATGCTTCTTAAACATCTATGATCGAATACTAGTAACCTACGAACATCTTCTACTCTTAACGGCCATGTTTCACAGCCATATAAGAGAACGGAACGAACTGCTGCGCAGTACACCCGCCCTTTGGTTAGCGAATGGATATCACGCCTACGCCATAAGTGACGCAGGTTGGCAAAAGCCAATCGAGCTTTCTGTATCCGAGCTGAGATTTCGTCAGTCACCAGACCGTCAGCACTGATGAGACTCCCCAGATAAGTGAAGTGATCTACACGCTCGACTACTTCACTCCCTATCACTAGTTCAGATGCCGAAGCAACCCAGTCCTGAAGCAACATTTTGCATTTTGAGGGGGAAAACTGCATCCCGAACACGCTCGCATTGTTGCTTATGGTAGTCAGAAGACTCTGCATTTTGTCAGCGTCTTCACCGAATAGAACTATGTCATCGGCATATTCTAGATCAGTAAGCGACTTTCCTGGTAGAAGGTCAACCCCTGAAAAATCTGACGAGCTTAATGTTAACTCTAAGAGGATGTCTACGACAAAGTTGAACAAGAATGGAGAGAGCGGGCAGCCCTGACGGACACCACTTGATGTAGAGAATTCAGATGACAGTTCGCCATATGCTCTCACCCGACCAGTGGTGTTCGAGTAGAGTGCTTGTATAAGGTTAATGTACTTCTTTGGTACACCTTTCAATGACAGACACTGCCACAGAACCTCACGATCCACTGAGTCGAATGCCGCCTTAAGGTCCAGGAACACGACTATCGTCGGACGTCTAAATGTGTGTCTGTGTTCCAGGACCTGTCGTAGTGTGAAGATGTGGTCTATACAACCACGTCCAGGTCGAAAACCAGCCTGGTTTTCTCGAGTCTGCTCTTCGCGAGCTCTAGTTAGACGTCTAAGTATAATCGAGGCTAACAATTTAGAAACTATATTAGTTAAACTTATTCCCCTGTGATTGTCACAAGAGGACTTCTGTCCTTTCTTGTAGATTGGGACAATTAGCGACTGAGACCAGTCAGATGGGATTACGTCCAGTTCCCAGATTCTACCTAGGATCTCGGTCAGTTTAACCGTTAAAACTGGACCACCATCCTTAAACATCTCAGGGGTAAGCCTATCGGGACCTGCCGCTCTACCTCTCCTTAGATTTCCTATAGCTTTCTCAACTTCATGTAAACTGGGAGGACTTAAATCGATTTGCCATTCAGGATGACTGGAGATCGTGGGCAACCGAAGAGTGGCTGAAGGCCAGTTGAACTGATCCCTAAAGTGTTCTGCCCATCGGTCCAGTCTCCTAGATTGAGAATGGATAATAAGACCATCCTTTTCCGAGATAGTCTCACTTACATTCGGGTTCCTAATACCGGTTTCTTTGATAAGGCGGAAAAGTTGTCTAGTGTTGCCTATCGCCTCTGCCTTTTCCATCGCTTTTGCTTTCGCCACCCACCACTGTTCACGGTCGTTACGTAGCCTTTTTATAAGTCTGCGCCTAAGTTGAGTACGCTCTTCATCATGTTCAGAGTCAGGTGGGATGCGTTTTCGAGCATCCATCAGTTCGGTGGATGCGACTGAAATCCACGGCTTCATCCTAGCCTTATGGTTTACCTTGCTAGCAGATATCACTGCTGTTTCCACAGCCTTCTTTATATCATTCCAACCTGACTCCGGATGGGAATCACTTGCATGATCGCCCAACTGTTTTTCTAGTTCCTCCTGAAATATTTTCTTAGCTTGATTATCATCAAGTAAAGCCCTAAGAGGCTTCCTTACGGTGTCTTTCCTACGTCCAGCAAGCCTCAAACAAATACGTGCTCGCACTAGGGCATGATCTGAATCTAAACATGTGCCCCAGAACGAGCGACAGTCCTCTATCGAACCCCTCCATCGGTGGCTGATGGCGATATGATCTAGTTGTGTCCAACGTTGAGACGACTTCGGGGGTCGCCAGGTCAAAAGGTGTTTTTCCTTATGCTTAAAATTAGTGTTTGCTAGAAATAGTTGGTTATCTGAGCACAGTTGCAACAGACGGTCGCCATTGTCTGTTCTTTGAGCCGCGAGACCGTAACATCCACCTAGGTGTCTTTCATTTTCACTTAGTCTACCTACTTGTGCATTGAAGTCACCAGCCATTATAACTATATCAGAGCGCTTAACTTTTTGGAGGAGGTCCGAAAGCTTTCTGTAAAACTCATCTTTTACATCATCTGGGCTGCAGTCAGTGGGGGCGTAGGCTGATATGACGAAGAGGCAACGGCGAGTGTCCCTATCTTTCCGAGTCCTTACTGTCCCGTTGAGTCGGACGGCGCACAAGCGACTATCTACAGGGATCCAGTCAAGGAGAGATTGTTCTGCCCTACGACTCAATGCTATACCTACACCGCCGAGGCCCCTAGAAGCAGCATCAGGGCTACCGGATACACGAAGGGTAAATCGAGCTGCTTCTTTATCTTGACATGGTGAGGTCAAATAAGTGATGCTACTCGGATCCTGTATGCGCGTTTCCGAGACGCAGCACACATCGATGGAACGAGATTCTAAAGTCCTAGCTAATGACGCCTGTTGCCCTATTTGACACAATGTCCGTACATTAAATGCTCCAACATGTAGTTTGGAACGGGGTTTAAGGAGACCAGGAACGACGTTTCGCAAACTCGCATCGTTTGCATTAGCTGTGCACTGTAATAAATGAATGTGAGAAGAGTTAGTTGTGGAGATAAGAGAGGTATTAGGGAATGTAGGAAGGATTTGATTTTGAACAATTTTGTCTCGCGTGCTGTTACTGTTATGAGGGCGGTTGTCACTTCCCGGCTGCCCACACCGTGGAAGGTTGTTTCTTGACGAACCTGAAAAGGAAGATGGATTAGTGTTGGTGCGTGACCGCAGAGTCCAAGGGACAACTGCTTCAGGCCGGTCACGCACGGCCGTTTTATGAAATGTTTTTTGAGGATTAGCTCCGTTCTTAAAGGCCCTTAGTGGGCACCCTTACCCAAGGAGACGGAAATCCGTGAGGTAGGGGAGGTGTGACATTTTTAGGGCCGACCTTTTCTAACCCTTCCTTCCTTGTGAGAAGGCAGCATCGCTGCAGATGCTGGTTGTCCGAGGGAAACACCTTACTGCTGTCACACCCCTCTGCAGTCAGCAGTACGACTTCGCCCTCAGACCTTGGGTAGCTGCTTTTAGTCTCATCGTTCTCCAATCGACCTGCCTGGCATGGTAAGACCTGCAGGAACATGTGTTCCAGCCAGTATAGCTCGGTTGGGTCATCACGATAGGCAAGCCCGACCACCACGTCAAGGTAGCAGCTTCGGTCGGGCAAATTAAATGTGAACGAACTCAAATGTATGTGAAGTACTACAAATGTACTCAATTAAGAAGCTTAGTTCCTCAATAACCAACCACTCTTCATCTATAGTTTGGTGATGCTAAATAAGCAACGGTTAGAAAATTTATTGGATGAATTAACCACTAAAATATGTGGGATTTTCTAGCTTTTTATCTACGAATGATCACTTAATATGACTGGTGTCAACGAGTGACAACTGCTTAAAAAAGCCAGAACTTTTGATGGAATGCTTCTAGTAAACGGATATCGGGTGACAGAATAACTCATCAGTAAATTATTAATGATTTTGTGTAACAATCGCATAGTTGTGTGAGAAGTATTCAACGTAAAATGAACGTTATTTCATATTATGATTGTAATGTAGAAGTTGGGTAAGACATTCATCAGTCTTCAGATGATTTAAGGTCAGATCATAAGGTTTATTTATTGCTCTTGTCCATCAGAGTGAAGGGTGTAGGAAATACATAGATACACATATTTTTAATTCGTACGTTTGTTTGACTTCTACTGTTGGCGCTGCTTTTTTCATTTCTTTGTTTTCTGATTGCTCGCGGTTAAAATGTGGCAACATAAAACCATACATTATTTTAAGCCAGCCTTATCCTTGCTGACTTCTTTTACATCTGTTTAGAATGTAGACACACTGATATTTTGTTGAATCTATTGAAAAATTACAAAAATACTTAGATGCATTTTGTGCGGTTCTTCTTCAGTCTAGATTACTGACATGTTCTATTTCTCTACAGCATTGTTATGTATTTAATAGTCTAGTTATTTCTGTTCACAATTTCATGATATTTTACTTCAAATGAAGTAATTGGTATTTGACTTAATATTTTCTAGGAGCGGATGGTTCTGTACGTATGTTCGATCTTCGGCATTTGGAACATTCTAATATCGTGTATGAAGATTCCAATCATTCCCCACTTTTACGCCTAGCTTGGAATAAACAAGATGCAAATTATCTAGCGACATTTGCAATGGACTCTGTAGAAGTAAGTAGTTATTCGTGTTTCGCGATATTTTTGACTGACATTTTTATAGTTGGATAAAGTATTTCAGTTTTTATATTGATTATTGATAGTTTTGTTACAGTTTTTTAATCAGTTAAATTTCTTTGTAGACTTGAATAAATTAATGTTTTCATCATGAATGTATTATTCTGAGATTCTGAACATTTCATAATCGAATACTTAATTGTGATATGTAATACGAGATGCTTTGACGACAGATGTGTCAAACGGAGTGCGTATGACCGTAATAAAAGGCACTTAACGTTAGTGTTGCCCATGACGCAAGTCATTTCCACGAAGTCCCCCAATAAAAGTTTTTCATGATTATCAGTGATCAAGGAAAGATTAATAAACCGTTATTTATGTACCCCTTACCTTCAATTTAAACAAACCGATCATTTTGTCAATAGCACTGTAAAGAAGAAATAAATGTATTGTAGTGTATTCTGGATTACCTTGATACTCTAAAACTTGAACCTTTGGTTTCTTATAAAGATTGTAGACCTCATTACTACTCGTTTATTCGCTCCCTCTTGTTCATGACCCCCTATTTAATTGAATGTATCACTGAAGTCGAGATGTAGCTCAGGGGCTAGGAAATAACTATTTGAACCAACACACTGTCATTAATTTATTTCGAGAATCTCTTCGTTAGAACTACGGTAACCCCTATAACTCCTATGTGAATGGTTTTAAGTAACACTAATCTTTAATATATGTACATCGTTTTTCTGTATCCTGGTTAATCATATTATTGACTGGTGGAGCTATGGTTTAGTGTTTGAGTCATGCGACTTATGACCACTGAGTCCTTGGTTTAAACTTTTCCTCAACGACCTTCGGCTATAGGAACCAAGTAGTACCGTATCATATTTTGAGTCAAAATATAAATGAACGAGCGTTTGGCCATTCTAACAAAATACATCAAATGACAATGCAGTCTTATAGACCTGTTTTAAGATGTATATTGACACTAAGAAAGGTGAGACAGAGTAAAAGTTCATTCACAGTAATTAATTTGCCATATTAAACATTGTAGTTGCAAACTTAGTTTTCATGAGTAAAGATGGTTAGCGCAACCTCAATTTTTCATGATTTTATTTATGCATTTATCGTCTGTTTGCACAACTCTATCTCATTACTGACAGATGAATTAAAATTAAAGATAATTATAGTAGCTCCATTTAATATACACGGTGCACCTAGTTTTGATCTTTTCATATATTTTAATGCTTACTTTTCAAAAAAACATGATCATAGAATAAAAGTGGGCTTACAATTATTTTTAAAGTATTACAATATTCAAATGATATACACATCTCGATTGAATCCACCATTATCCAGGCGCAGATCCATACTCTCAAGGTTTAAGTCCTAATTTGTGTCAGAGGTCGAAATACTACTCTGAATAGAACTTTTCAATGTAGACTGTCAAAGCTTTAGTTATTGCGGTATCATCAGTTTTTCGATAGGCAAAGCAAACACTATCGATGTATCAGAAAGCGTATCTGTGTTATCAGTTGATCACTCAATTCAATCCACTGTAATCCAATTGGGATTTCGATTTAACAATCCCTTACTATATCTTCACCTCATTTTTCGGATAATATGCTTACTTATTTTTCACTACGCTAATGTTAGTTTTTCCGAAATTATGTTCCTTATAACTACAGATAATTATTTTGGATTTACGCGTACCATGCACTCCAGTAGCTCGCTTAAATAATCACAGAGCATTTGTAAATGGATTAGCATGGGCACCACATTCAAGTTGTCATTTATGCACAGCATCTGAAGATTGTCAAGCTCTTATCTGGGATATTCAGTCTATGCCAAGAGCAATAGAAGATCCTATCTTAGCATATACAGCTGCTGGTGAAATTAATCAAATCCAGTGGTCATCAACTCAACCAGACTGGATAGCTATTTGCTATAATAATTCCTTAGAAATCTTACGAGTGTGATGTTTTCTTCTTTCTTATTTCACCAACTAACTTACAAGCATAATGTACTTATGATCAAATATTTACTTCTTTTTATTATTGCACATTATTTTATAAATGTATTATGTTTTCCCTAATATTCTGGATAATTTGACTAAACTATTACCGAGATACATGTGTTGTCAATAGTAAAATTATGTCTTGGCTATGTATTTATCAATTTCAATTCAATTAAAAATACTGATATTCGTCTAATCAGTGTCAATATATAATTTTTTTATAAATTATTATTATAAAAATTTCGAAAGTAGGTATATGTAGCAGGATACGTGAGACTGAGACGAGTCAATAGATTTCTCGTTGTTACCGTTTTACACCTACTCATTTTTGATTAATTAACCGACAAAGTGAAAAGAATAGACGAGGGTTGCTGATAGTCACTAGTAAATAAATATTACCTTGTTGTTTACAATGTGGAAGAATATTTGTCCATGAGGTACCTACCTACCTGTGAATGAATTGGATTAAAAATAATGGTATTGTTAGTCAGAAAGGGTGACCACAAAATCCAAAGGATGACAATTTGGAACCGACTACACGACTAGATCTCTGCTTCAAGACATGCGATTATTGCGTGTAGTAGGTAGTTCAAATCGACAACACATTTTCCCATAGTTTCATATCTTCTTCCAAAAAACTAATTTTATGGTTGCTTACAGAAGTCGATGCGCAGTCGATTTGGTTGGCATCATGTTTTATGTAGAGGTGACTCTGTCTTCTTACGACAACAGAATTCTTGACTCGAGTGAAGCTAGTTAGATATTGCTAAAAGTTAAACAATTATGGGTCCCGACCATTTAATCGAATTCATAAGTTAACAAAATTTATTCCCTTGGGTCTCCACGTTGATTTAGACGTGCCTGTGCTTAAACTTTAGTCCACTTTCATCTTATATTGATGATTCATGGGCTCTGTTAAGTTATTAACTTGTGTTTCCATAGACTACTCCACAAGTGATGGTGCTCTAGTAAAAGCTAAAAGACACATTTTTCTACAAACTTCAACGGGCAGTAATTGGGTACCAATGATGAATCAACATACAACTATTTACTACACACAACAGTTTAGATTATGTTCGGAATTTTTTACACTTTAACTTATTAAACACTGAAACCAATTTATTATCGCAGTGGTAAAATTAATCATATCCCTATGAAGTAAATGTGTTTGACTTTTGTAGGATGACACATCAGTTACCCTAATCAGTTAGTGAAATTTTGCAATACGAGCTCCTCAATTAAAACAAAGTGTTTTTTTGAAAATTACTTATCGTATGTAAATAACTTCGGCTGAAGACCTTCCGGGGTTATTGCCAGTGAAATTTACTAATCCATTCTCGAATTATGCACACATCTTTCGACCTTGTCAATTATTTGTTTAAAATATTGGTTGATTTTACTTGAGTGCGTGTGTGCAGAGAAAGAGGAGATTACAATGCATCTCATTCAGTGCTATGCACCCACTAATGATAACAACGAAGACGATGAAGACTAGTTTTAAGAGGCTGAAGTCAATAGTAGAAAAATGATCTGGCAAGGACCCGATAATCTTGTTGCACACTTAGACTCCAAGGTACGAAGACATTATAGGATGACATGGATCGGGCGAGTGGGACAAGAACGATGAGAGATTTGCAAACCTATGTGCCTTCAACAAACTGGTGACAGGCGGCACCATATTCACACAAACACATACAAAGTTACTTAGGTTTCACCGGATCGTGCTACACAAAACCAGCTAGATCACATTTGCATCAATCAAGAATCCAGAAGGACCAGAAAAACCACTAAAAAGCAAGGAAGGCGAAGAAATCACCGATATTGAAGAACAACGAGACAGATTAGTAGAGTACTTTGTAAAAATCTTGAATCCGCCTAGCCCTGCTGAACCCACTCAACATCGAAGCAATACCCACAGACCTTCCAATCAATATTGACCCAGCAACAATCGACGAAAATGGCATGGAAATGAGAACTATGGAGGCATCACTCTTCTCGCAATACCAGGATAAGCCTTCCACGGAGTGTTGCTGAACGGAATGAAGGATTCAGTGGACGCCCAACTTTGAGATCAACAGGCTGGATTCCGTAAAGATAGTCAGTCAGTCAACAACAACGTAGAACTTCGTACTTACGTACATCAGTTCATGTTGCCATACCACATTAGCACAGAGATGTAATTGTCAATTCAAATCCCATAGCAGTAGAGGTAGTAAAAGTATTAGCAGTATTAGGAGAGATTAAAGTTCGACGATATTATTCAAGAAATAGAATCTAGTGAAACTTAAAAAGAAAAAGATAAGGGTGTTGAGGAACTTCGAAGGTTAGGATTTGAAAGAACACAAAGAATGAACGAACCTGCGTCATTGCAGACGATTTTGAGCCATGTCATTCAGTGTTCCGTAAGGATAGATCGTGTACCGACCGGATCTTAACATTATGGATCATTGTAGAACGCGATTAATTGAATGGAACTCATCATTCTATATTAACTTCATTGACTACGAGAAAGCGTGGACAGGACAACACTGGATGTTTCTTCGAGACTACAGCGAGCCTGAGAAGATAGTCAACATAGTACGGAATTCTTATGATGGATGAAAATGCGAAAACGTGCATGGAGGACAGCTCACAGACTCATTCCAATTGAAGACAGTTTTCACACAAGGTTGCTTGCTCTCGCTCATCCTCTTTTTCCTGGTGGTCGACCAGATTATCAAGACTTCGAAATCCGGTGGCAAGCGCAAAATACAGTGGACACCCTGGATGCAACTGGAAGATCTGAACTTCGTAGATAATCTAGCCTTTTTATCTCACACACAACAACAAATTTAAATGAAGACAGCTAGTGTAGCAGCAGCCTCATTCTCGGATTGTTTGAGTTCGATTTGTTGTTGAGTTTCACTTCAGTGAATAGTGACTTCGTTGTATACTAGTAACATATCATAAAAGATAATTCGACAGTTCATCATACTAGCTAGCGTAGAAATAGGTTAGAAGAAAATTAGAGACGTTTGAATTAAGATCAATCCGTGAAGTCGTTGACTATTGGTTTGAATCTCACTGAGCTTATGTGCTATGATAAGTTGGGCTGATAAACTTTTGTATCAAGTTTTATGCTGGTAATGACTGACCGATTAAGCTAGGCAGTATATCAATATTTTGATAACTAGTGTACACATAACTTTTCTAGAATTAGAGATGTTAGTGATATTAATTCTCTAATTGATGCTCGAACACCAAGAAACAAACAGAAATAATCTGTTGAATTATTTCAAAAGTTTATTTTAAGAAAAAATTAACAATAAATCAATCATATTCCGATATTTCACATTTTATCCAATTTTCAGCTTATGTACAAATTGTATCTATTTTCACGGGTATTAGTTGTTTGCAAACGATGAATTGTTATCCTTGTAACTTTATTATTAAGGACCGAATTCTTGGAAAAATTGATAGAAATTCATTTCTGACTTGATATGACTCCCAAAAGTTTGTCAAATGGCGTAAACAGGAATTAGATTTCATAAATACACGAATCTGCAACATAAAGGTGCGTTATATTATACTCCAAAGTTTCGCATGACAATGGATGTAATTGAGAGTAATTAATGTAATACTTAGTATTAGAAAGCACTACAATTTCAGAACTCAGAAACTGATTACAGAAGGTTTATCGCCTTCAAGCAAAATACGTCAGCAGTTGTGACAGCAGATGAATGACACTTACAAGCTGAACGCATGAGTTACACAGTGCAAGTAAGAACATAATACATTAGGCGAAGATTTATTTGATACATATTTTGTAGGATGCAATAAATTTCCTTATCAAATCTGTCCTCGTGCTCGTATTCGCGCCGTGGCAGTTGATTTACTTTCAAGTACCAGCCATAACTGCAGTTACTACTCGTGATCGTAACTGCTATCTGTAGGTATGAGATTCTTTTCTTTTTAGTCTAGTAGATTTATTTTTGCCTCGCTTATATGGAAGTGTTGCATTGTGAATGACTAAACAAATATACGCATATTTTTTCATACGTCCGCCTGATGTCTATGAAGTATGTTTATGAGCTAAGCCTAATGTTTTAGCAAGTTAACAGTACCACTGACTGTTTTAAGTCAATTTGAAACAGCTGTTAAATGAAAAATTAACATCAGAATATGCGGATACTGAATATGATTTTTAGGCAATAAACTTGTGACTGTAAAATGACTGACTTACTCAAAACCTATCTCCGAGTTATTGCTGAATATATCTCAATTTGAGGTATGAAATAAAATTTATAAATTCTATTCCAGATGAAACTGTTAGAATTTACCATAATCCAATTAATTACCTATTAGTATTTGGACTACGGGCGAGAATGAAGTTACAAATATTTTGGGAAATTCTATTTGATAAACATCAATGTAAACGTCACTATAATAAATGTAGTTATTCTTATTATTATTATACTGTCCTCAAATCAGTCTTACAATAATAATAATAATAATTTGAAATGGTATACACATGAAGAATGTTCAATGATTCTGAAGGGCTTAAAAACTATATTACAATTGACAGAACAGTTAATCGAGTTAGAGTAAAAGTTATCGACTAATGTAAAGGTTAGTTGTTATGATGAACAGTGTACGAGATCTGGACGCTATAAGTTCTAACTGATTACTTGAGTGAGAAGGTAAGAGTAGAAGAGGAAATCTATTTGACTACCGAATAATATGTACTAATACTCGTCTGTATATAAATATATATATCATCCTCTTGGAAAATGAATCCATTTCTTGACCAATAATTTATGTATTCATCCCTTAGGCGGCCTTCTCATTCGGCCGCTTCTGAATGGTTTGCTATATCAGTCTTCAGTTTTTTTCAAAGCAAAATTAACATTAAAATTGATTTTATCAGTAAAGTTACCAACGTTTAACTTGCATTCATCGACTTGGCTAAGTTTTACAGCTAGATGGTAATCACGGCGGGGTTGGGAAGGAATAGTGGTAGCGCAACAATAGTCATTTTACTAAATACCCTACCTCGAAGGTATTTAAAACCGATAGGGTTGTCTTTTATTGAAAAATTTTTAAAAGTCGATATTAAAGAAGAGTTGTCCTTTGTGTAGGCGTTAATAAACATTTAAAATAAGTGGGAATGGACAATCTATATTTTTGTCAGCATTTCAATATACGTTCATTATTATCATTACTATTATTATTATTATCATATCTGATTGCCTACTGTGCAAGTACACTAGTAAGAATTCGTTCATACAATATGAGTGAAAATATTAGTTTGGCAAATTGCATAGTAAGTGGTTTTGTGAATAATAATAAATGAGTTTTGAATACATTATACTCGACTATTTAGAGAAGTAATGAAGCTTTCAGTATTTATACTTTCTTGTATCCTAGTTAATATAATGAATGAACTCTCAGTTAATATAGGTAGTAATGTAGAAATACAAATAGTTGACCTTATTATACGCAATACATGCATCAGGTAGAAACCGATGGAAAAATTAATAACTTTTGGAAACAGATCTTTGAACGACGAGAGTTACAACCATTTGAGTTTCTAAAACTCGTAAGTATTTATAAACGTGAATAATAATTTGTTGTATAAAAAGAGAAAATCAAATCAACAAAAAATGGAACTTACCTTTTTACTGTCATGAATTGAAGCTTCAATAGCACTAAGTACAACTGTGATTGAATATAATGAATTCGCATCCAAATGAGGATCCAGTAATATATCACGAAAGCAACTGACAACATTAAGATCTGAATAAAAATACATCAAAAAGATATTTGTAGTTATATTAGATCTATAAATTCATAAAAATTATACATGATGACTGCGGATACGTAATGTAAGTGAACGCTGTTGTGTCACAGTGGTCGAGCGTCCAATGAATAATAATATTAAATTTCATGGTCATCTGTACTTTTTTTATAGAATGGAATAGATTGATATTTGTTATGCGCTTCAAGAAAACCATTTTTAGAATTTGAAACAAATCTAAATGAGACTCAATCCATAAAACCGTAGAAATGGATCATGAATCATTTTAGCAAAATAGATAGATGAATGTTAGATGGGAGTAGGGTGGAATATAACCAACAGAGAACATACTAAGGACCATTTGAAGTAAGTCCCTTATTAAGATCTGATATTTAATCAGCGAAATTCATTTCAGGAGAGTGAGAAATGATATTATACATAATTAATAGATTTGTATTAATTACAATGTTTCGAACTAGCTCAATAAGTAACTTTATCGTTCTCCTGACCATTAATGCGATGTTGATGTTATGATTAGTTTAGCCTATCGTAATAACATAATCGATCTATATTGGCTAGAAACAGTTGTTCCGTTAGATTCCATCATGCAAGCCAGGTCGGTTGGAAAATAATAAAACTAAAAGCAGCAACTTCAGGTTCGAAGGTGGAATCGTACTGTTGACCAAACTTGAGTTCGATGATAGCAGGATGGTTTCCTAAGATAACCACCATCCATAGAGATGCTGCCTTCTTATAACAGAAGGAATGAGTTAGAGAAAGCTAGCCCTAAAAATATCAAACCGCACTTAACTCCATGGATTTCCTTCTCCAGAGACATTATCTTCGAAGTGTGGAACAAACACATCAAGAACTTCTTACTAAAGGTCTTATGTAGCCGATCTTAACATATTTTCCTGGAGTCACTAAGAACATAAACAATTTCGTTTTATTCACAAGTTCCTTAAGGCAAAAGTATCCATGATATAGGTGACTGGAAATTAACAACAGATATCATACCTTGAACACTCGAAAAATATTCGGAAAAGACTAACCTCCAGTTAATAATTTTAACTTGAGAGTACTGTTTGTGCATAAATTTCTCAAGATCACTAACGCCGTTTCACGATTATCAGTTTTGCAATGATTAATACAATTGATCAAAATTGTAGATAAATCTGGAAAAAAATTAACCGGAAAATAAATGTCAAATATTATTGTTATTATTTAACTGTTTAGATAAACCTATTTAGCATTGTTGTCCTCCCATAAATGATGAATCACTAATCTAATTAAGCCAATCATTTTACAATGATAATCGAGGTGACTTACACTAACTCACAAAATCGTCATAATTTTATTATTTCTACTTATCGGGATATCATAAGTAGATTAACCGCCTATTCTGCCTGGTACTGATACCTAAAATCATTTCACTTTTTAATAGATAAACTAATTATTGGTACCAGTTTGAAAAATTAATTCTTATAATTAGCTTATACAACCCAATCTTTGTGGGTTCCAATCACAACCAAGTAAGGAGGAAAATGTGAAGGCATGCTAAAATTATTGTAAAACATAAGTATTTAGATTATCAGTAGAATATTAAAAGGTTGTAGTAATATATTCACAAATACGTCATGATGTTCTCGACTTAATAAGTAATAACAGGAAATGTAAGCAGTCAAGTATGTTCCAACAATAATGACAAAAACTTAACTACTTTTAATAAATAGATACTGTCTTATACTGGTAATGATTTTCTAAAGGGTATGAAATGCAGTTTTGAACATTAAGTAACACATTACTATATTATGACACAGAAAGCTTGAATAAAATAGATTTTAGAAGGATATTTATTAAAAAAGCATACTGTAAAACTGTGGTGTTTGAATGAACTAGTAACTTCTTGTTGTTGTGAAATACTTGATTTCGAATTCTAAATACAATACATTCGTTTGTGCATATTTTTAATTCTTGATACATATACTTCTAATTACTACACTGGCGTCGCGATGGAAGTTGTAATGGAACAGCTAGATATTCATTCTACTTCTGAAGCTTTTGAAGATTATTTGGAAAGGTTTGAAATCTGGAGTATGACCAGGAAAGATGTCAAAGATGATAAAATTGTGGCTCATTTCCTAACATTCATCGGAAAAGAAGCGTACAGCTTATTGAAAACCTTGGCATATCCAGAAAAACCTATTTCACTTCCCTATGCAATGCTTAAGGAGTTATTACTGAATCATGTAAAGTGCCCTGGTTTTGAATGCCGTGAAAGAGCGAAATTTCATAAGATGATTCGTCAAAATGACCAAAATGTTAAGGAATTCATTCTTGAATTGCAGAAACAGGCTGTCAAATGTAATTTTGGTGATCAACTTCATGTGCAGCTGAGAGACCGATTAATTGCAGGAATTAACATACCTAGTTTGGAAAGAGAGCTGTTAAGAATGTCAAACTGTTCCTTTCAAGATGTTAGAACTGCGTGCATTAACTACGAGGCGTTGAATGAACTTGATATTCAGTCGATGAAGATTTCCAATACTTTGATTAGTTGTCATGATGAAAAGCAATCTCAGGGTCAATCAAAATTGTGTTCGTTTAACAGAGGTTCTGATTCTCGTGTAAAAATGAACAGTGTCTCAAAAAAGAATTACAAAGGAAATCAAAAAGGTGAGACCAAGTTTGGCAAATGTTTATCATGTGGAAAACTTCATTCTCGTTATTATTGTACATTTCGTAATGCTAAATGTTTTAGATGTGGTAAGATAGGACACATTCAAGCAGTATGCAAAGTTACTAGTTCATTCAAACACCACAAAAACACATAACGTTCTAATTGTCATAGTGGTCTGAAACCATCTAGAGCATTTGAAATAAATAAAATGTTCTTTACATGTACTCAAATAAAACTTTTGGTTTTCAAACGAAAAAATCTCCAACTATGAAAATAAATAAGAACTAATGATCAGAGAACAGTCAACATGAGTTTCTTTTGAATGCAAGTTAAAATCTTTAAAAGGAGGAGGAATCACTCATATTGATTATCTTTAACTATTTCAACGTGAAATCTACTTAATTAGTGTTTGATTAGTAAATTACACCGATTATATTCTCGACTTCAGTCATTGATAAAAAGTTTAATGGTGACTGTTACTATATGTACCGCTATTCAATGATCAGATAATTTGATAGGAACAATATCATATGCTTATAGATTATGGATTGCAAAAGTAATAGTGCGGTGTATCAGCAGAGGTTTCTCAAATACAATCATGAGTATCGATGGCAAGATAATATAGATCCGCACAACTAGATAAGATATATTGATAATTCTACGTTAAAGTTGGATGAAGTCACAAATCAAGTGCATGAGATCCGCTAAAACATTCATTACACTGTCTGAAGAATATAAAACATGTTATGTACCACAGATTAACGAAAAATTGTATTGTATCATCGGAAACATTGGATTTACAATAGATACATAGTTAAATGTTCCACTTTTAAAATGTAAATATATGAAAAGTAGTATGTACTGAACTTACTTGGTTGACTAAACAGGATCTGCTGTCCATCTTTAGTGAATGATATGTTAATAATCAATTGTAACCAAAGAGTAAGTATAAACTGTCCACGACGACGTTTAGTCAATGTTCGTGGGTTCAATTCTGATATGTGATTAAGAAATTTTGACTAAAATAGAATAAAGATAAAATACATTCTGGATAATGAGATAATTTCGAAATACTGAATTAACATCTTATGGAGCTTTACAGTTTCACTTAAGCTTTGATATAGTGGTATCATCATCTAATGTCAGTGGGGTGGATAGTTAAAACTCAACAAGATATTATCAGTAAGAGATAAAAAATTGTAATAAATTGAACAAACATATTTGAGAAAGAGGCTTTTAGGCTCCTGATAAATATTATCCTACAATAAACTGTTTTTGACTTACTAAAAAGTCACTATTAAAAATTAAAGTAGATCGATTGGTATTTAATGATTAATTTTATGAATAAAATGCTTAAGAAAAGGTAAAAGGAAGTTTAGTTTTGTAATCGAAATCACGAAACAATCTAAGCTACACCACCATTAGGAACCTGGATACCCGTTTCGTCCTAGGATGGGACCCTCTTCAGCAGTGCGCATCTCAACAGCCATCTCTTGATTCTTAGATGATACTGTACTTTCAACAAAATATTTTGTTCATTTAAATTCGGTGCAGAAAGCATTCACTGAAGACAAGCTGAATGCGGTTTTCTACAATCACCGAACAATAAAAACCACCAACAAAGACAAACTGAATTCGACACATCTACAAGTAGTTATCGGTTCAATGGCTCTTGAGGAACCAGTTCTAAAGGGTGTACATATTGAAAAGTCTGTCATTGTTTCGCGGAAAATTGTCAATCCTAGTTGAGTAAAGGATATGTAAGAGTGACTGAACGTTTTATTTTCGCTCACTTGTCGTATTGTTAGGTTCGTCACTAAGTACGCTTTAAACTATTACGGGTTTACCTGAGTCGATAAACGCGAACGAGACAAAGAACCAACATCCAGGTAAACTACCTTGATCTGAAACGGCTAAAGAGAAGTCTTGATAAGTGTATATTCTACAAACACCCAGCAAGCACAATTAAATCAAGCACACAAATCTCGTTCATTTATACTCCATAGAGACGTTCTTGGGACGGTCATAAAAATAGCACACTAAAATATACAGCAGCCAATCACAACCAAGGATATTCCTGGTGGGAAATGAAATTTCAAGGTCAACTGATCAGCCCATGCTCGCCAACGTGGAATCCAAAGTAAGGCATTTATCAAGCGAATTCTGGGGATCTAACATCCCCAACACATATGCATGACATCAAGTCGACTTGAATACAGCTTTTAAACTCATTCACCATATTCCATAAAATTTACCACACAGTTCACAAGTTAGTCATTCGCATATTACTCAATCTCTCGGAATTCATGTTTACAAACTCAACCTTTGCATTCAAAAGAAACTTGTAGAAGCAATCTCCGGGTTTCTGATAGTGGTCTAGTTTCGATCAGTTAGTGATTTTGGCTATGAAAATAATACAATCTCCACAAATCCCCTCCATTAAGTAGTTTATTTACAACGATAAAGTTACGCTCTAAATATTATAAAACAAATAACTTGCATGTTATAATAGTCTTGTGTGATATGAATTAATAATGAAGATGTACAAATTAAAAATTAGGTATGAAATAAGATTAAAGCTTACTTTCAATAGACAAGATCTTGTCTCTGGTGCCCATACCATATTAGCTAGCAATTGAAAGGTTAACTTATATATATCTTTGTATTGTATATTTGTAGTGTGTTTGTTACTCATAACATTGGTACAATACTTTGATTGACTTGTCTTAGTATTTATTCCTAGTGTGTTTGTATTACACTTTACATTTGATTCGGTTAATATGAATTGATTGTACATTGGAATTAAATTACACAATGATTGAATAAATGAATTATTTAGTGTTAAGGAATTTGATGAATTGAACAGTATAATAGGAGCTGATTTTGTTGTACATACATATTATGAAAATAAAAATTAAAAACATGTTTAAAGAAATCAACAATAAGTGTTACAACAAATTAGTAATTTTTTGAAAAAAAAACTTTTCACAACTTTTATTGAAAAATGAATTTTGATAATATAAATGTAAGAAACTTTAGTCTAGATTATCAATATATTGAAATCATGAAGGGTTTAGCGTCTTACGAAAAACAGTATAAGTGCATGATCTAAGTACTATAAACTGAATATCTGAGATATTGACTATTATCTTGAACAGTTACTGATCTGCTACAATGTTTGATACTTAAACTATAGATGAAACTGAAATGAGGGAAAACGGAAGATGATTTATGTCAAGATGAAGTCCGATCATTCAAATCAATGGAGATTTATAAGGCTTAGAGTGAATTATCGATTTCACAATCGTAACGAAAATATATGAAAATATTTTCAGAAATTAAGTTAATAATGATTGATTTATGTAAAGGAGCCCAGTAAGGACGTCTATAATTTTTTCCAGACTTAGCGTAAATATATTCTATGTCTTTCTCAAGAATCATTATGTAGAAGAAATGAAGTGTTCGAACAGGGAAGTAATTGTTACTGGTATAATTGAGTAGAAGAAATAGGCTATGTAATAAAGGGATATTATACCACGAGTGGGTGAGAGAAATGATGCACAAAAATCATAGAATAACTGATTAAATCTGTGAAAAGATAAATTACAGTCATTTCATAAGACCAACTGATCTATCTAGAGTTGAGGATTTTATGGACGCCATTTTATTTCGAAGTGAATAGATACATATTCGTACATGTTAATTATCTATGATTATATCATAAACAATAACTAGTCGAAGTTAGGCAAACTAAGTAACAAAAGTCAACAACCAGCACAAAGGAATACAAAAATAACCACCTCAACAATACCAGACGGATAAAAAATGTAGGATTGTTCGCTGAGATGAAAGAGGTTACATGATAAAATGTTGGCTACTCATGAGTAGTAATACAATTAAAATACAAACATTTCGTACAATTTCCAATCAACTTAAAGATTCTATCATAAACCCTACCTTTTATTCATTCAGAAACAGAGTATATCTATTTCTCTTACCATAACCTTTCCAAAAATTCATTTAAAAATATTCCTTTGATCAATTTTAACCAATACTAAAGAACTTCATGAGTTAAAGTGGAGGCAGATGTTTGTTGATGTTTTATTCAGTTAAAACGTATTCGTAAGTCCTCTAAAACTGGAATTTGACCTAATAAAACCAAAAATATATCTTGGAGAAGGCATAAGTTTACTGCATTCAATGTTATATCGGGCAGCATATCTGCAGTAAATATTAAGTAAAATGGGTAACAAGCAATGCATTAGAAATAAGTTGTCGTATAATTAACTCAATAAACAATAAAACACATTGTTTATACCATCTGTTTTAGAAATATTTCCTTGTGTATTGCTTTTGGAGCCTGGAATCTGATTCGATGGAGAAATTATATAAGGATTAACTTTGATTGTACTAGGAGGACTAACTAGAGCAGAGGAGGCTTGTGGAAAGTCAGCTGTTAAATTAGCAAGTAAACCAAGTATTGTTCGTAGGATTCGTAAATCTTGCAAAGCCAAAGGCCAAATACATATAATCACCTGTATGACAGAAAAACAAGAACGTTTATGTAAATAAATTCATATAAAAATATTATCAGTAGCAATTATGAACGAATTTGTTGTATAAACACCATTTAGAAAATAATTCAATGCGAAATAAAACTAGGACGGTAAATTAACCTTTAAACATTTACACACAACCAGAATGTGGAAACTATAAAAGTTGAAAATATCATGTAATTCTTGTTTCATTGATTAGATATTTGAGGACTATAAAGATTTGAAAAACCACAGTCTAACTCAATGGTGAATGTAAAACGATGTTATGGAAGGTCGAAATAAAACTAAAGTCAACCAAGATCAACACGTCGCATCAGTTCATGAACATATAGACTTTTTGAACTGAACCATTTCAATAGATGCAATCCCTTTGGTTACGGTCAATGTTATAAGCGCGACCGGTTTTTGGAAATGTTGGGTGATATTGATCAGAATCGGTCACAGTAGAGCTGGTTAACTGAATCTCTATTTTACGCTAAATCCTAAGCTCCGGCATTCCTTCAAAATACTATTTTCCCGATACCCAGTTTTTATCACTATCATTTCTCTGACATTATCTCGCCTCCTATGTTACTGGTGCTGTCGTGCACAAAGACTGACATCAGAAGCGCAATATAGATGAGCTAATTAAAACGGCTTAAAAAGATGAAATACAACTAGCTACATTTTGACAACTGCTTACTAACACGTAATTTGAGAATAATTTTCATTCATTCTGTCTATATCACACAGAGCGTTATTCCATATTCATTTTAACAGTTTCACATCAAAATTATGTAATTTTTGTTTATCATTTTACATATACTTCAGTGTTCTAGCAAACTTTTCGACTGTACTAATATTTTTAGTAAACGAAATGATCAACATGTCTTTGGCATTAGACAACCATTGGATTTCCTTAATAAACTGTAATTTTTAATTACATAAAGGTAAATATATTATACATATCCATTTCTTTTTCAAATTGTGAACTTTCTACATTACTCACATTTTACTGATTCACATTATTCCATATAATAAAATCAATAGTTGAATATAATTAGATAAGCTTTTGGTGTAGATTTGTTTGTGAGGGTGCGGATTGGCAAAGTAAAGGCCGCATTTCTACAACTGGAAAAAATCTGGAACTCCAAACAAATATAATCAACACCAAAATCAGGATTTTCAATACAAATGTCAAGACAGTTCTACTGTATGGAGCGGAAACTTGGACAACTACCAAAGCCATCATCCAGAAGATACAAGTATTCGTTAACAGTTGTCTACGCTAAATACTTCGGATTCGGTGGCTAGACACCATCAGCAACAACGTACTGTGGGAGAAAACAAACCAGATTCCAGTGGAGGAGGAAATCAGGAAGAAACGGTGGAAGTGGATAGGACACGCACTACGAAAAGCATCTAAGTGCATCACGAGACAAGCCCTCACATGGAACCCTCAAGGCAAAAGGAAAAGAGGAAGCCCAAGGAACACATTACGCCGAGAAATAGAGAAAGATATGAGAGGAATGAACAATAATTGGACAGAACTGGAAAGGGACTTGCGATATGTTCGAATTTACATATTAATTAAAAGTACTGAAAAAAATACATTTGAGGCATTAAAACAATCGATTTTACTTGAATAATTCCTGATTCTATAGCACGCATTCTAGCTTCCGGGCACATATAAACAAGATTATGTAATATTTCTAAATTTGCAATCATTTCATCCGAAAGTTTAAGCCACGTAGATACTGTTTGTTGTCGACGTTCAGTTTTCTGATCTATACTTCCTCTACTTGACAAAGATAGTTTCGAGTCGCAAGAAGTTGATCTATCAGATTCTAAATTTGTATGAACATTACTACAACATAATTCCATTTTTGCTCGAAGAAGTTGTAGCTTTACAATCGACTCCTCTAAAAAACCATCTAAATTAAATAGAAACAACAACAGACTAGTATTGTATACTACAAACGAACAAATAGAAAGAATAGTGTAGTGTTTGATATCAAATTAGGTTATAAACACATTAAGTCATTACAATGATGGGTTGGTGACACAGTGAAATGAGGGAACACAAATATTCTTATGTCTGAAATGTTATTGAATTTATTGACGAAAACTAAGTAACAAATAGATGTGAGTTGATTCTTTGAATCTTCCAGCGCAAGTCATCTTAAAGTAAGAAATTTTAAATCCTTTTCCTCAACAGATAACATTTCTATAACTGATAGATAGTTATGAATACGCACAACTTCCAATCATAACCGACCATTGATGTCAAAAGTTTAAAAAAAGTTTATTTTTAAAAAGATGGTTAAAAAATTGAAGGACTTAGCACGAAAAGAAACATAATTTAAAAAAACTATGTAAATAATTAAACCTAGCTAAATAGATTCTCATAAGACTACAACAAATTATTCAAGAATAGGATATCAGTATTATTGTCAAAAAGTTTCGTTGAATTCTAATCTAGTTAGGTCGGTTGACATATCGGTATATAAGGTTAGTGACAGTAATCAAATTGTACACACTTCATATAGTCTACTTGAAGGTTAATGAATAGACCTCTCAATGACTACTTTAATCATCCGTTTGTGTTAAAACGATAGATCATAATGACTTAAACTCACTACATGTATATACTGAGGAACATTTCTAAACTAGTAAAGGGGACAGAATTTCGCAGCTTTATCAGCTAATTTATCAACTATAACTAATACTCCACGAAGAACGATGGAATCATCAACTAAGTGGATCAGCCATACACTGTGAATGTCTTCAACATATCTGTGATACAATACTTGCAGTCTGAGAACGTCCTGTATCACAAACTTCATTTTCACAGATGTAATACGATATGAAACATATAGCTATCTAGTATATTCAATCTTTGATAGAAAGAAGTATGTCTCTTTTTCACATGTGAAAAACGTTGACAAAAAACAACCGAGCGTTTCATATCTAAATACTTATCAGCCACTAATACAATCATCAAAGTGCCCAGCATAAATGACAAGTTCGAATATTAAGATACTTATATTGTCACATCATCTACTGACAAAAGTTAATCATGAGATGTCTTCCGATCGAACAGGAAGAAATGTGTGACAGATAGTTAGCATGTCCAAAAGATTCGCGGTAATGAACCTGTCTTCGTCGAATAGAGCCATGTCATCAACGCACTGCAAGTTAATAAGTAAGTTTCCAAGTTTGAGATCAATCTGAAAAACTCCAGCCCAGAGAAGAAATGCCTCTAGGAGCATATATATGCACAGTGACAACAGAAACTGCTCGACACTGTCGCTTTAGATCATGGTTTTCTGTAAGCTTTGAAAAGATTCATTGTATTTAGGTAGAAAGCAGCCAGTGTACTGATTAAATTCAATGTTCAACTTTTCAAAAATAAACATGATCACATCAAGTATTAATTAACTGTGTAAAACATCGAAATCGGAAAGAAGAAGTTGATTGCAATCGGCAATTAGTAGATATAACAATCTTTTAAAATGAGTCGAAAAATAAAAACATCCCCAATACTCAGGCTTTGTAAACGATATTAGTATATATTTAAGGCAGATCTAAAATGATAAACTTTATTAAATTGTTATTAGTTACAGGTCCACAGGTTAAGTGTTTACGTGTGAGACTGAAAGTTTTGGGTTCGATTCCTGCAAACAGGGTCGCGGATACACAATGCTGAATAGTTCCATACCAGAGTAAAACGGTCTTCTATTTCTTGCAGGTTTCGAATAGGAGCCTAGATAAGATCAATTCGTGATTTCAACTGTGAAAATAAGTACACCATCAAAACAAGATTAAGATATACTAGAGTAACGTTTACTATAATAGAAAACATTATCAGTAACAAATACGCAGTCCCATTACAGACACAAACATTAGAAAATCATAGTTCTCGTGCTACATAAATATGTAGTAACAATAAAAGCACGTCATTTAAATCAATTAGTAACCAAATAAAATTTATAACTGATTACCTTCAAGAGCAGTAATTTTGATTGCATGACATATCCCAATAAGAGTTCGTAATGCATCATCAACAGCTTTTTTATAATTGATAATGACTGCCATTGAATTATAACTAGATAATCTAGGTGATGTTGCATCCTGTGAAATAAAATGACTGGAATTTGACAACTGAACTAAACGTCGAGTGAGATAAACAATATCATTTAATGATTCATCAGAATTTGGATGTTTTGATTTAATTGTATCCAGTGTATACTCTTTCTCTAGACGATTAACTACTGGATTCAAGGAAACTGGACGTTGATGTGACATAACAACAACCAAAAATTGTAAAGCTATTCGAGCGTGAGCACAGAATCTATGATCATGGGTAAGTGAATACAACAAACAAATTATTAACGAACAATAAGTTTATGATAATCATAGAACCGAGTACAAAGTCAAACAGTACGATATACGATTCTAAAAGCACTAATTTACGTAGTTCGACGATCATAAAAGCTGCATAGTATAAGGAATTCTTTCATACCAACTAATGTTAATTTAGTATATTCAAATAACGGTAAGTGGTGATCCTACAGAAGAGCTTAGGACTATTGTGCAGCAATAAAGTTAACTTAATGCGTTAAGGTATGTTTGTTGTGTGAAAGTAAGTTGGCCAAGTTAGATTTCCCATACAATCTATAACAATATCCAATGGCTTCATTGATGAATGATGCGCCTTAGTTTGAGCATCCCTTTATTTTTTCATACCTCTTATGTCCATTGGTATTGTTCGCCAGAGTAGTGAGTAACACAGTAACACATGTTGCAGCTCAGTTAGACAAATATGTTACATATCCTTTCATAGTGGATATGTTACCACAAAAGAATGACTGAACTTTGTTTAAGGTTCCACGATAAACCACTGAAGGTCATGTAGTATTAAATCTAACCTTTACATCAATTTAAACGCTATATTATCCGGATAACTGTACTTACATCGAGAAATTAAAGAGAAAAAGTGTTATAAAGTTTATATACTGTTCAATATATACTACTATCATTACTAACTTTTTAAAACTGGTTCTTAGTGGCTGAAACTTTAGCGTTTTCATTAAACAAATTACATCGTCTAAATAATATAAGAAAAATATTTTATGAATTTAAGATTAGTTTATTTAACTGAAATTAACAGTAGCCATGATGCACTAAATTAATAGAATTCGATCTGCTCCAAAGATTAGAACAATATGACCATTATTAAAACTGAAAAACCAATCAGTTCGAGAGCAGATCGATTGCACCTCAAATAACAGTTCTAGCTTATTTGCTTCGAATAATCCATGAGGAACAACAGTTCTTGCAATACTGCAAATACGCTATCACGATGACCATAAACTAGTGAAGAAACCTTAGTCGATAATATCCTATCGATTTTCTCCAACCATGTGACATCAAAAATACAGTAATTGTGTGAGATCACATCAACTTAAAATAGTGATCACAATGCAGTTTGAATGATAGAAATATATTGCGCTATTTAGAAAATAACACAACATTAATCACTAACAGATAATTAATAAGTCCTTACATATTAGCGTACATAAGATTGTGTTATTATAATGCTTATATTCTAAATAACAAATAGCCTTAAAGAGAACTAAACTCACTTCACAGAATGACGATCTTTACATTCTTTAGATATTTCCAATTCAGCTTTGTCAATAAATGTGAGGATAATATCCATAAGGTTAGGTAACACATTAGTTAAAGGCTTCAAAATTAAACGTAAATTCAAGCATTTTGTTTCTTCATTATTCGAATAAATCAATAAACATGTTAAAAGTGAGAAAATCTCTTGCCACAAAGAAGCCATTAGATCAACATGGTCTAATAAAATTAAAAAGAGGAAAGTAATATGAAGTTAAGAATGAAATACAACGAAAAATAAGTACATGATCAAATTAAACTGATCAGTTAATGAATTTGTCTAGTCATTCTATTCTAGTCAAATTCTACCTATCAAGCTGCATCGTGGTCAATTTATCTAAGTGACAAAATATTCTGAACATAAGCCTTATGTTAGTGAGCACTCGTTAGCACGTTACTCCTGTAACCTTTAGGAAACTGATACTACCTGATTCGATCAGATCAGTGGTTATACTTAAACTAAATCGATAAAATTCAATCAAAGCTAAGGACTAGAGAAACATAGCATCAGTAACATGATATCGATTAGTGATCAATCAATGTGACCATCTTACCCCTATAGGTCAGCTGTAGGCCAAAGAACTCAGTGGTATCGGTTAAGACTATGAAGTTGGATGAAGCAGGTTCAAAAAGTTCATCAAGCACTAGTTTCAGCAAACATCCGGGTAGGTCATACTGACAAGTAACAACTCGTACAACACCTAAATCTAGGGTTTACTATCGATTGTTTTTATGAACAATGAACAAATTATCTATCCATTGAACAATACACGGATTGATGAAATAATAAAACAAGCTCAGAAATCAGCAATTAGCATTTATAGGATTTATGGCGTAGTTAGATTTCCAATATCTATCCAGTCAGCAAACTCTTAAATCCATTGATACAGGGCTTACTTTGATTATTGATCAACAAGAAGAATCTACATAGAATCTAGCTAAACTTTAAACAATCTCTAGGGATAAAAAAAATAAACATGAATACAAATGCTTGTGTTTTTATAAAATGTTTTAATTACTGCATGATACAATGAACGGTAGACTTCTTTATACATTCAGTAAATAAATAATGTGTATTTACTTACTTATTGGAATAGTTAAAAGTATAATTATGCGTGTTAAAAAAAGGGAGTCGGAAATTAAATTCATACGACATTCTTCATTCATTGTCGCCTGACAACGCAAAACATGTAAACAACCGGCATAACATTGAATTAATTGGCTACATGAGTTTTTTGGACTGAACGATTCAGTTAAATCGCAGTTTATGCCTTTGTTACTTGTAGTAGTAGAAGAAATAGCATTTTGTTGAATAGAAGCTTGTAACAAATCTGTCAAAAAAAATATTTTGAACGAATTCAAATTACATAGTTAGTAGGCAAAGAAAGGGAAAAAAACCGACTAGAATATGCTTCTATCAGCAGTAGTAATCGTCTATTAATTAATTGAGTTGAATGTGTGAACATTCATACTAACAGTCAGTGTATTCTAAATTCCTTTCAGTTATTACAATATAGAACTAGTAACTGGAATGCTAAACGTTAGAATTTGACTACAGTTCAACTTCTCTATCAGTTCTAAGAATTGTTTTGACATTCAATGCAAAGACCCTATGTTCGGTAAGATCAACTTGACGAGATAATGTGGAAATGGATTTCAGAATATTCTAAGAACATGTTATTTGATTATTTTCCGTAAACATTTTACTTGTGAGGTTGTCTAGAATTAAATCATTAGAAACATCCTAGGATTGTAGACCAAGCGACAAATCTGAAGATACTGATTAAAGCCGTGAAAAAAGCTTTGATTAAATACAATTAGAACCATTGATGTTCAAACTGTGCACATGTAGTTAAATATATCAACTGCGACATAAAGTCAAACATTGAAACTAGAAACATGTAATTAAAATAAAAATTACAATGTAACTGAAAATTACTTGGATCAATCATATTCATTATTAATGGATTTATCCGATGTTGTCTCAATTCATTGAGAACAAATTTAGGTAAATGATGCATCAAATTAATCAACAAGTGAATAACTGTACTTAAAAGTGAGGATGTACAAATACATGGAATATACGATGCTGATGAAGGATCAGCTACATTATTATTTATGGAATGAACAGATTGACTTATACCGATTGTTCCCGCTGTCGATACTGTTGAAGTAATTGCCTCCGGTTTGTTATTAGGTGTTGTTGAAGATTGTAAATCAATTAAATTAGTACAAGGTAAAGTCTAAAAACACAGTAAAATAAATACAGAAGGCAATACAATCGATTATTGTCCAATTACATTTTGGTTAAAAGGATAAATCAAAATGAATAAATTCATTGTCAATATCTATAATTCAAGATATCAATATTCCGGTCATCGAAAGTTTATGAATAACATTGTATTTACGATTAAAATATGAATTGAAAAGTATCTATATTTAGGATTACTAAAACAGAATACTCCAGATAAAAAACTAATGGTAGATCAGTGGATTTTGGTTCTGAAAATTATCCTACTCGGTGAATGACAACTGTTTAGAGGAGCAATAATTTGATTTAGCGAATAAGCTACATACTCACACTTTTATGATAATCTTGAAAATTCTTCTGCTTAAGTGACTGTGGATTAGGATTTACAATCAAAGATAGTCAGTACATCTTCCCATGAAAAACAAGGGAATATTAGTTAATTATTTTGAGTTAGTATTCGTCTCTTCAATACCATACACCCACAACCCCGGATCTTCGAATCATAAAGTAAACGCTTAATCATTAAAACCACTATGCCAATGTTCTGTGTACAATTTCAACTTCAGCCAATATGTAATACAGCGCAACAACTACCATATACTAATCATGACAATGTTTATCTCCAGACGTATCTAAACGTTTTTTACCTGAGAACGTAAAAGCTAGAAAAACTAAAAATCGTTTACAAAATATTTCATTGCTAACCTTTTCATTGTTGCTTGCAGATGGCATAGTCAATCGATACCATTGAGATATACTGAACATTGTTTCAGGTAAGTGAGAAGTGATCAAACGACAGAGATAATTAAAGAAATCTTTTAAACCTATCAGTTGATGCAATGCAGGCAATCCAATAAGATATAACTGTGAATTAATTTTTAGAAAAAATAAAATATTAGAAATGGGAAAATAAGCATTGCTCAATTTGTGAGTTTTCCTAATTTCATAAGCTATTAGTCATAACTATGCAACTTCTTTATCAAGTATAAATTTTTGAAATCAGCTCTGAAATGCTTTTTGTTTGAGTATTGGTGATATTACCACCTTATCATATAAACCTCAATAATCTAATCTATATTTTGGCCTCGACACTCATAAACTGAAAATAAAATGTCTTAATCGATGTTTCAAAAGAATATCAAATAGAATCTAATCAAATAGCTAGATATACGAATAAAAAAAGTGAAAAATAACAAGTTTTAAGTTTTAAATGACTCTAGTAATAGTAAATAGCCATAGGCAGAGTGGAAGGATATTAAATGAGATTTCTGATAAAGCATTCATGTATAACACTGCTTACAATGACTTAGATTTTTAACGTAAACAGACCGGCACCAGGAGACATGTGCAGTAATTGATATGAACTCAAGGTCGTTCATAACTGACAAGATTTGCCAGTCGGCTCAAGACTTTTCTAAACCACAGTGATCATAGTTCATAAATTCTTAAAGTGATTTTATTTTCATGACTATTTTGTTACCAATTAACCATACTTACAAAGAACATTTATCTGTTTGCTTATAATCTAACAGGTTTTACTTTGAATTTCAAAATGTTAAGCTTTTCTCTCTCATGTGGGTAAACAATCAAAGTTAATTTCAAAGATTACTACATAGCCAATTAAATGAGAAGGATAAAATAATGAATGAATTCAGTGGTTTAATTTCAGTAAACAAGATAAACCATTATAAATAATAGCAAACATATTCAAATAAGGAAATTTAACTCACATTTGCATCACGATCTGCATAAACAGGCATAGTAATATTCTTTGATGGTTCTGACATACACACGGGTGTGAACTGCATTTGATGATCTATACAAAGAGCGAGTGAATCTTTATCAAAATATAAAATACATACCTATACTGTTCATCATGTTTTCTTGCGTAAACAGTTCATCAGTCCATGGCTTTAAAATATTCATAAGTTGTTTAATGTTATCTCTTTGTTGTTGAGAACATTGATCTGAATTGAGAATATCTTGTAAATCTACTATAGGTTTATTAGAATCTTCAGTATCATATCTAATACTATTTGATGTTTCTTGACTTCCTAAAGTAAATGAATTGGATGGTATGGGTGAAATGTGAAACCTATCGTGTAGATTTGCTTGTTCTGAGCAACCTGATGTAAGTTCATTTATGGCAGGAGGGAAAAAGATTATTGAATCCCTTGGATTTAAAGGTAGAGATGTCAAATTAATCAGTAAATTTGCAGCCATGATGCGAACCCAACAAGATTCGGACGAATTCATCAAAAAATGAAATGCCAATTCCCAAATTGCACCTGGAGATGACCACGCAAGTGAATGAATAGACAAAAGTGTGCGTGTTTCGGTAGAAACATTACGCATTAGCAAACGTTGTAACCAAATTGGAACTAAGCATATACGACTTAGAATTGATAAAGCTAGAGCACGAACCTACATATGGAAGTAAGAAAGATTAGAGTAAAAAGTGTCTTGATTAATTCAACTCTTGATGAAGAAATGAATAGAAATGTCAGTTGCTTTTAAAAAGCAAAATTGCTATCAATTGAATCTCAACAGGAATTGAATAACATATTTTAACTAGGAAAATAATATAAAATCAGTTGCAACAAGTGAAAATAACATAAGAGTCTTCATATAATAACAACTAATGGAAGTTTGAATAAATTCTCCAAGATCTGCATTAAACTATAGCAACCAAACAAAATCATTGTCTTGTTACCGAGGGCACAATTGTAACGGAGTCAAAATCACTATGTATGATGTTGCTAACTCGTTCTGTTTTCTTTCTATTTCAGGGCGATCAAACACAAACGCTTTGGAAGCTGAAGAACAAGCCCTGAGCGCTCTAAACTTACTGGATGACTCATAAGACATTGGTACACTACCCACCCTATTCCTGTAAAAACCCCGCGTATTTGATTATCAAATAAAAGACTGCCGTGACAACCACTTCGTGTTCTCTCTTGGTGTGAGGCGTTGAACTAACCTTGTGTGTTGTGATTTTAGATCCTCTCCGCCCTTCAGTGACTGCTGATTACACGTGTTACACAATCGAGAAAAAAAGCCCAAACCCGTTAGTTTCCTTATTTAACTGTTTCAGGAGTGATTTTTAATATCTTATATCAAAACTCTAGTGTTAACACTTAACACTTCATTCACTAATATGCAAAACTGATCATTAATATCAGTCTTAGAAATTAATACGAACATTTTGATAATATTATCCTATGACTAAGTTGCATTGGATTCAGCTATTCTCATACTCATTCACACCATAATATTACTATTTTATTATTTATTTAATCTGATGCATATTTACAGAAAATCTTGGACAGATTACTTCCTTCTTCATTTGGAATCTTTAAACAACTTTTATTCGCCTTCTTCTTACATGAATGGTACAAAATAATCCAACTTTGGATGGGATTTATGTACACTAGGTTTTATTGAACAGTAATAAATTTATAAACAGGATTAATTTAAAAAAAAAGAATACGAAATAATAAAACCACCATATTGTTATTATATTTAGAAAACTCTCAGTACATTTTTTTGTATTTTACAGTTTGAAATAGTAAATGTTCGTCAAATATTTGGGAGAAAGGTAAAATATTTACTGATATCGGTGTGGGTTGACAGTTATTTTGAGTTTCAGATATTCTTCAACTATAGAAACGCTGCCCTTGATTTGCCGATCCACGCCATCACATCTGCTGTCCACTGCATCCCGTGTTTCTCCTCCGATCTTGACGTCTTCATAATCCAGTCGATCACCAAGATAAAGAGAATGAGAGTAAGCAACATTATCTGACACCGGTCTTTAACCAGAACAAGTATGTGAGCTGTCCTCCATGCACAATTTTGCAGTTCAATCCATCATAAGAATTCCGTATTATTTTAACTATCTTCTCAGGCACGCCGTAGTGTTGAGATGGTGGAGAAAACTTGTAGCTCAGGTGGATGATTGTGGTGGTGTTTTGTTCTCTGAGCTGGTTGTTTTGGTTGTGGAGCTTTCATTGTTCTTCTGAACAACATCATCAGCACGAACTTCAGATAGAAGTGAAGCATTAGAATTTCTCCACGTTTGGCCTGTAGCTTGTTCTGCTGACCTCGATCTTGATTGGTTGTTGTTGACATTTGACCTGTCGTTGTTTGCAACTATGTTTTGATTGCCTCCCTCTTTTGATCTGTTTCTTGATCTAGTGTCACCTATACACGCAACTTCATCAAAAAACATCAACCAAAACTATCATCAGGAGTGAAATCAGGCACAGGAACAAATAAACGCATCATCCTACCATACATCAAAGACATATCAGAGCATACGGCACGACTACTGAAACCATTTGGAATAGGTGTGGCACACAAACCAACGGAATCACTTCAGTCAATCCTATGTAGACCAAAGGACAAAATGACAAAGGAAGAAAAACCAAATATCATCTACAAAATAAATTGCTCAAATTGTGAAAAACACTACATAGGACAAAGTGGACGACCTCTTCAGCTCCGTTTACGTGAACATCAATTAGCAGTCAAACGCCACGACAAGGCTTCGCTTATATCAATACACACCGACAATTATGGACACACATTTGATTGGAACAACGTGGAAATACTAGGTAGGGGGAGGACAAAGAACACTAGAGAATTTTTAGAAGCTTGGCACTCAGGTCAATTAGCAATCAACAAACACATCGACATTGACCCAATTTATCAACCAATCAGGAAAATCATAGGTGACACTAGATCAAGAAACAGATCAAAAGAGGGAGGCAATCAAAACATAGTTGCAAACAACGACAGGTCAAATGTCAACAACAACCAATCAAGATCGAGGTCAGCAGAACAAGCTACAGGCCAAACGTGGAGAAATTCTAATGCTTCACTTCTATCTGAAGTTCGTGCTGATGATGTTGTTCAGAAGAACAATGAAAGCTCCACAACCAAAACAACCAGCTCAGAGAACAAAACACCACCACGCCGTAGTGTCGAAGAAACCTCCATTGTGTTGTTCTGTCTACGCTTTCAAATGCTTTCTGGTAGCCAATGAAGTTGATGTAGAGTGGCGGGTTCCATCCAATTGATTGTTCCACAATGATCCGTAATCTTGCACTTTAGTCGGTACATTATCTATCCTAACGGGATCTAGCCTGTTGATCTCGAAATTGGGTATCTACGAAGTCCTTCATTATGTTTAACAACACCCTGTTGAAGACTTTACCTAGTATTGAGAGAATAGTGATATCTCTGTAATTCTCACACTTTATGTGATCGTCTCTCTTTGGCATCATGATGAGCTGTCCTTCTTTTCAGTCTGCTGTTACTTGTTCTTCATCCCAAATCTTGCTGAAGAGAATGTGGAGCATCTTTGCAGTTATTGCTACGTCTGCTTCCAATGCTGCTGTTGCTGACCTTGATTTGCCTGAAGTCCATAATGATATCTTCGATTGTTGGAGGGCTATCATTAATTGGAAGATCTGAGGGTATTAGTTTGAGATGTTGAGTGGGTTCAGCGGGGCTGGCCGATTCAAGAGTTTTACCAAGTACTCTGCTCATCTGTTTCGTTATTTTTCAGTGTCGGTGATTTCTTCGCCTTCCTTGCTTTTCAGTGGTTTTTCTGGTTTACTATCAGTTCCAGCAGGCTTCTTCCTTGTTTCACATAATTGCCTGATAATTCTCGTTGCAGCTTTTTCCGCCGTTATTGCTAAGTCTTCCAAATATTTTCGTTTTTCAGCTCTGATTCTCCTGTCCACTTGCTTGTTCGCTTCTGTATATTCAGCTTGTATCTAGGCTTTGTCTGCTCTTGTTCGGCTGTTATTGATTTCTATCTCCCTGTTCATCCTTTCCTGAATCCTATGCAGAGTATCATTAGAAATCCATTCCTTGTGGTTGAGCTTTTTCTATCCCAGAACCTCGTGACACATTGAAGTTACTGCTTCCTTGGTCCCTTTCCAGTTGTTCTCCATGTTATTGGTCTCTTAATTGAATAGATCGTAAAAAGCCTGGAACTTATTGCTGAGAGTTATCATGAATTCGTTGAGTTTACCATTATCCCAAAGAAAAGCCGTATTTAACTGTTTTCCAACGCTTCTCGAGTCTCAATTTCATCTTGACGACCAGCACTTGGTAGTCTGGAATTCCTCTCTTCTGTCTCATGTTCTCCAAAGTCCTTCTGAACTTTTTGTTGATGCAGATATGGTCGACTTGGTTCTGAGCAGTGTGATCCGGTGAAATCAATGTAGCTTTATGTATGCGTTTTTGTGGGAATACTGAGCCGCCGAGACCAGTTTGTTGAAGGCACATAGGTTTGCAAATCTCTCACCGTTTTCGTTCCTTTCTCCCAGTCCATGTCGTATCATAACTCTTCTGAATGAAGACTGTCTAACTCTTAGGTCTGAATTTAAATGGTTTGAAATATTTTTTCGTGTTAGTGTTTTTTAGCGAGTTAGTTTTCTATCGGACAGAGTCGCTGAACCCATGTTCAACCCTCTCTCTTTATCCGGGCTTGTAACCGGCAGTAACTGCAGAGGGCTCCACTGCTGGACATAATTCATCTATTTCAAGCTTTTAATTATTATTCTCATTTGGAGTCAAATTATGACGAAAACTTCATTCACATGATAATCACGTAGTAAATATTATCAACAGGTATAAACTTTGGGTGCATGATGACAGAAAAATGAAGACAGTAAGAAAGCACAAAAATCAACTGAAGTATTTACCTCCGTTTGATGATAGGTTAAACTTTGCAAAAGCCATTCTTGATCGATCCAAGTTATATATTTTTGATAACTATCCATATCATTATTATTATCATCTAATAGGACACTATTCAAATCTGATTGTTGTATAAATGGTTGAACAGATAGTGTATGAATTAAATTATTCATTACAGTTAGGAATAAAATAATATTAGATGATCCCTTATATGAATAATTAGCTTGATGATTGTGTTGTTGCATAAATATTGAAAGCAATTTTGATACATGATCAATGAAATGTTCAATAACTTCACCATCGTTCACAATCAGAATGATTTCTTGAAATTTACTATAAAAGTAAATAAATTAATGAATAAATATTGAAATTAGAATTAAAACAATATAACATAAAATCCAGCAAAGGGGAACACTTTTCAGTAGATTTCTTATCATGTTCTATAGTAATAATCAATTCTTTGAAAAGTGATACTTTTGCAGAATTTCATGTTATTTTTCAAGTGGCTAGATGGAAATTTAAATCTATGAATAATATATGCAAAGTGAAACTAAATAGATGTTTTCTAATATACAATTGAACATGCAGCAAATTAGTAACTGTGTTTAGTTAGCCCTTTTGCCCTATTTATTTTATATGAAGGATAGTTTAGTGCTATTGAGTAACTAGGAGAACCCTACTGGATGAAAACAGCTCTTGTTGGAGTCAACATTTGGCAATTTACGTCTATTAAACAGTTACTTACTCGTGTACTTGGATTTGAAACATAGTTCTAGTAGGAAAAGATTAGTGACCTTATTGATCAGCTTGAACAGAGGTATTTGAACTTTTAATCAGTTTTTTCACAATCAGGTGTTTTAATAATTTACCATTTAAGTTTATTGAATGAAAACACCATGTCAATGACACTACCAGAGTGTATTCAAGTTTAGGAAATCAGTATTCAGAAAATACTACATCACTTGATTTCCGATCAAGTTAAAAAGTTTAGAGTGATTACAAAGATCGAAAAAAGAAAGCTCAAATATTATTAAAAAGAAACTAATTCTAGATAATCTATAAATTTGCAAAATATTTATTTCATGAAATAAAACTGATCAACCAATTAACTATTTGTTCAAGTTTGAGGTATGCTTATTCCAGTGAATTAGATGAAGCTTTGTTAAAATTGAAATCTGATTATGAAGAATAAGATTAAAAAAATAAATATCCAATATTTTCCAACTTATTCACATATCTCTCTTTGAACAATAACATCACTGCGAAATGACAGAGACGGTAATTACAATCAGAGAAGATGGCGAACAGACAAAAAGAACACCAAAAAAAATGTGCCGAAGACTTAAAGTCATCTGGTTTTGTTAATTACACATTAGTTCATTTCCTCAAAGGACAACTTCCAAAACATTTTACATGCAATGACTTTTACTGCCATTTGATTAAATGCTTTTAATTTTAGCTTGTTATCCTGAAAGTTTCATATTCCCTATCTCATACTATTAACTACATCATAAACCTCAAAGTGTTGTTTTGTGTCAGATTCCAGTCTATCCATCAAGTTCACGTCCGTATATTAAGAATCCCCATTGCTGGTAATTCGAATTCATTATTAAGAAAATCGTTTTTTTCAATTTACAATAACAAACAAACGATATGCCTTAGATTAAAAAATCACTTAGAATTGTTTTTCATTTTTTGAGATTATGGCATCACTAACAAATTAATTAAATATAAAATTCAGACAGAATAATATAAAGAAAACAATAATTCATTACGGTGAAGTCAATCTTGCTAATATATTAGCTAACTGATTTAATCGAACCAGATCAGAAAATGGCGAAGCTATGAATTCTTTCAAAGTATTACAAGCCCACTGGAAACAAACTTCGTACACTTTGAAATCACATATGCTATGAAATCTAAAACCAAAAAAAAAAAAATTCGGCTTAATTTCTCTCGGTTATAAAAATTTCATGAAGAATTCTGCGAAACAATAAGGAAATGTGAATGCAGTATAATGAAAAACGAATACAAACTATTATGAAATAAATAACTTAAAGAATGCAATATATATTAACTATTTCTTAGCCAAAAATGATAAATATTACCAGCCAGTGTTGTTAATGTGTCCAACACATAGTTGATAGATAATTCAAATGGATGGAAAATAAAACGATAAACATCTGCTGACTGAATATAACAAAGCAGTAGTTAGCCAAAGTATACATTTATATTTTCAGAAAAGTAAAGGTAAAGTACGAAAAGCAGTATTCTATTGAGACCATTCATCGCAGTATCGAGATTGCGTGATGAAGATATTGCGCAAACAAATATTGAAACATATCAGTAGACAATTTTTACTTTTTCATTGAAATGAATTTGAAGAAGAATTGAAAATCTCTTTCTAACATGTATGAATGTAGAAAACGGATAAGCAATAAGAGTCTACGAGCTAGTTCGCATATCTAATGAGATAAGAAATAACATGAATTCTTACCACATAAAAGCTATAAAACCTAATAACAAAAAGTTTTATTCTTATTAAAAAAATATCCAAAACACTAGGTCATAAGGTACCAACCAACCACTCAAGTACCAACAATGTATGAGATAATTCCAAACTGTCAAGTCACTTGTGTAATAAGGCTAACATTACAATTTACAAGTTACTATGATGAACATACATACAAATAGCTTTTACTTTCACCTTAACAAAAAAATATAAGTTTAGTGTCAGGATGAAGAAGATTTCACACTATCCGATGAAAAATCATTGTTCATATTTCTACTATATAGTGAATATCGTTTTTTTACTGTCGTATTTGAACACTTTTGCTTCACCCATAAATCCTTTTTATGTCATCCTATTCCAGATTTATCACTCATAGGCGAGCCTTATATCGCTACATTTAGATCAGGTATAACTGAGTTGAATAGTTATTATCATTTCTTATTTCTGTTTTTTTACAGTCAGCTATATGACGCATATTTCGGCATCTGTTTTGAGTGAGTACAGAAGAGAGTTAATCTGCTTGCTATCGTCTTCTTCGGATCGGAAGGAGCTTCTACTTCAATAGGATTATCTGATCGTTATTCACTTCAGCTAAGTCGCTGGTCATGGTAATTGGTACAGAAAAGGCTCCTGATCCTGTAGGCAATAAAGGCAAGCAAATCAATAAAAGAACTAGATAGTACAACTCTTCCTAAAAATAAAAGGCTAGATCACATGAGTCTCAATACAACTCAAGACACTGTTCCTTTTGAAAATACATTCATATAACATACCATGACACAATAGAGTATTTTTAAAGTATAAATAAAATAGGAACATACTGTGATCCAGAGTACTTGGCGAATATACTATTTGAATTGTTATCTGTGATATTGTTCAGTTTATGTAGTGTATCAAACAAATCACTTAATAAATAGGGGAGATCATGATAAATTAAATGTCGTTTAGCAGATATTAATCGCGGACTATCTGTTTCACCAACTCCAGCTTTCGGTTGTAAAAGACAATAACTCAAAGGGCCTTGTAGATCTCCTATCATAAACATTAACCAATCGCATACATACTCCTAAAAAATTAGTAAAGGAAAAGTGAAATTTAGAATAAAATTTAAAACAAAGCCAAATTGATGTTTACATTCATTCAATGTGAATAAATCAACCATTCGATTTTGCGATTATATATTTGATATTAAGAGATTAAAATTTTTATGAAATTCATTCTACCGAATTCACAGAAGTAATAAAATAATCTAATCTATGGCTCATTCTCTTTAGTTGTTTTATATATGAATCAATGATGAAAGAATTAAGTGATATTTATTTGACTTCCAACAAGTTAAATAATTCTAGAAGTATAATGAACAATTAATAATGTTTATTAAAAAAATATATGAATTAAATAAAGTTTCTAATAGCATAAATGCTTACTTTAGATGAATTTGAAAAATAATTAACAGTGAATGGAATTAAATGTAGTCCAACTTCATGAATAGCACGTAACAATGAAGCAAACAGATTGTAATCAGATGTACAAGATGGTAATATAGACATAAATCGATCAAGCTGTGCATATATCCACCAACAATCTTTAGATTTGTTAGACTCCACAATTGGATTTATACAGCAGTTATCTTGCCATTGATGATAATATTGCGTTTTATGAGCTGATAGAGATCGATATAAAAATCCTAGTGATTCTAGTAAGCTAGAATGATTAGCCGACCGACGAATGCATGTTAAGCTGAGTATAAAACTTGAGGTTGGATGACTCACAAGTAAAAGAGTAACATCCAGGCATGATAAAGAAAATTGACTGAGGAGGCTGCAAGTTTAATGAATGAAACATAAAAGATAAGATTATTACACAATGCTTAGTTGAACGGATCAAAATACAGTAACCATTTTTAAATTTCAAATTATCACCTACCGATAACTTTACAAATAACCTATCGATTAAACAGTAAACAAATAGATAACAGTACAAGAATGTGTAGGGTTTGTTAGCTAATTGTAGAACTTCTCACACAGTAATCAATCTGAATTCGATCATTAACTAAATCTCTTTATTGACATACAATTGATTTTCTTGAACTAGCATCATAATGCAGTTAATAAGAGAATAGTACAGGGAAAAAAAGAAAGGTAATAATGTCTTGATATTCTATTGGGATTTATTATCAGAATAGCTCAATAGAAAACAAACAATCATTCTCAATGGAGTCTTATCATTTGAAATGATCATTGTCTAAATTAAAAACTAACAGAAACTGGAAACAATTTAAACGATGCCTTGTAGATAGGGAATTTTATTTTTATGATCGTTCTTTGAAACATTACTTCGATTGCATTTCATAGGATTATAGCATGGACGACTATTAAATGAAGAATGCTTCGAAATAATTTTATCACAACTTACTATTGCACAAACACTGAATACAGTTTTATTCGTTACAATTTATAATCGAAATAAGACAGTAAAAAATTTTCTTATCTTTAAGGTGTTGTGTATGAAAATATTTCCAGTTGTGACACAAAAGACAACTGAAGTATAATAAGCTACAAAGATTTAAAATCTTCTCATACGTTTACATCACTCAATACGCAATGATTAATATGCATTTTGTTAAATGTACGAGGAAAAAAAAGCTAAAAATGTAACTAAGTAACTTTCAAATCTAAACGGGAGAAAAATTCACCTGAACTTAGTAATTACAGTCTAATAAAGCGTCTTAACACATCACAAATCAATTTTCAATGGTATGTTGATTTTATATCCGAGTAAGAATTATTTAAAAAGTTGTTTAGATTCGAAAAGAATGCTAAATAACAACGAGAAGTCAACAATAAAACAATGAGAAGTGCTTAATAATGTGAAGTAGTCATTATGTTATATTAATTAATGAATTAACAAAAGAGGTAGTGTTGATGATTATTATTCACGTTTTGCCTTAGAACAATCACGTCTAGCGTGATTATTCACTCGCACAGATAATCATTGATTAGTAAGTAGTTTAACTTTACATTTGTGTATCACTACGTATTGAGCTAATGGCTTATCTGCAATTAGTTATTTATTTTCATTTCTATAATTTTCAGGCTGTTTTATCCGAGAATATCTAGTACACCCTTTTTTGATATTGTTTTTCAATGAAAGGTTGGTTTTAAGATGTCATCAATAGAGTTTGTAGATTTGTGATTTGTCATTAGGTAACAACTTGTTTCAACTACATATGTGACACTTTCTTCCAATTCATATTAGTAGTTATACAGAGAGATGGGTTTCAGTATGGATAACAGACAAAATAAGAACTTACGGACTATATTCACGTGCTCGTTTAAGACACACATCCACACCACATGGATCGACTGCACTGGGATTCGGATGCGAATCGATCATGAACAATGTATGAGAGATAAGATTTGATAAACCTTTATGACAAGCAAAAGCCCAAATAAATTTAAAATTTCGTCTGATTAGGCTACACAAAACAATTGTATTTTGATCTTCACTTGTACAGTTGACTAATTTGGAAAGGGGTTGAAAACGGCCAACTACTTCATTGCCATTAGGATCACGCAATTGTGAACGAAATGAATAAGCTGGGCATGTAAACGGTAATCGATAGCCAGATATAACGTTTTGAGGTAAACAAATAGGACTTCTGGTAAGAATAAAATGGAATAATACAAAAAAAGGAAACTTTCATATCTAGATTTAGTGAACATTTTTAAAAATAGTTTAAGATTTTTGGCACAATATTCGTAGAAAACTGGAACCAAAAATTCAGTGGTTAATCTTAATCTATCTCCTCGTCAATATGTGTGTTCAACAGTTTAATAAAAATCGACAGTAAGTTGTCTCTATTAAATGAACTGTTTAATAAACAGAGTACTTTTGAACATTATCTATCATGAAACGCCTTATTGTATAAACATATATATGCACATAGTATCGAATTGCAGTAAATGAAATAAAATCAAAGTTATTAGTTGATGAGCATAAAAAATGAATCATGCATTTACTAAATTGAAACATGGAACCATAAAAATTTTGATTGTACACTTTGTTTACGCAAAACAATACAATGCGTATATCAGTAAAATAGAAATTACTCGTTTGAAACTTGAATAACTGGAGTGAAAGCCATCAGAGTAATTAGATCAACAAAATCTCGATGTAGCATCTCCGAACTGGGAAATACATTCAGTACTAGAAAAAAATTGGATTAAAAAAAATAAAAGTCTATTTAAATGTTGTCGCAACAACAACAAAAACTCAAGTATATTGAATCAGAACAAATATGCTGCTAATTCAAATAGTGAACATTTAAACAAAACACTTGAATGTTATAACGAAAATTAAGAAAAATATAAAAGTAAATCGATCAAAACTACCAACAAAATATCAATGATCAAATTAAAAATCTAAGATAACAGAATAAAATCATCACCTTTATAATAAACTATGAATCTAAGCTATTGTTTTTGTGTTCAATATAAAAGTTATGTGATAATAATTTCACCAAGTGAAATCAAGACAAAATTTGTAAGTAATTTCTGTATTGATTTATTCTGTTTTAATACCAATAATAAACTCGTAGAATTTAGATGAATGATTAGAAGTTAATAATTATTAGATTAAATATCAAACATCACTTTACAGGTTAACAAGTGACAACCTACTTTTGAATCTATGGCTTTAGTGAAATTAAACAAAATTTTAAATAAATATGATTAGTTGAAAATCATTATACATGATTTAATGAAATGTCAAAAGTTTGCACTTGTCTTTACCTACAATGTTTTTTTTGGATTTCTTATTTGATACTGACTTGGTGAAACGAAAAACAATATCGATGAAATGTAACTTTTACAAATATAATGATTTTTCTATATATCAACTCGTTCATCACCCTATCAATATACGTGGGTTTCGTGAAGATTCAAACAAAGTAAATCACAACTTCGTGTCATTTGCCTGAGCAGAGAAATTTGATCAAAAGCTAAACGAAATGACTTAGGTTTCTTCAAGCGCCAAATCAGGAGAGGGTGGTTGGAGTGTAAGGTACTGGGTTCGAGTCCCGAGGTGAATGTCAACTATGAGATGCAGGTACATCCAGTTGACGAGACCCAAATACGACAGAATGCACATTCTGCTAGCCACCTCTGCTAATTAGCATTTATTATCTTAAAAAGTCATAAATCCGACATTCTTAAAATAAACATACAATAAATAATACTGCATAAGAAATCTGGCTCGCAAGAGAAAATAAGTCGTGTCGACGTATCCCATATGGCAGTTAAACAGGCTAACTGAACCATAAATGGCAGTAATACAATGATAGATGAATTGGAATTTATTGTTGGATTGAAAATATTTGTTTTCGAAGAATTTTGTTGTATTGATAACAACACTAAATCATTTGCAACTTGATTAAACCAACCAACTAGAAACTCAGGTCCACGATGTACACGCCAAGCTGATAACAGTACAGGACCTAGATAAATAAAAATTTCGATTTAAACAAAAATTTAGTAATAAGTAGATTGACAAGGATAGTACATAGTTTATTTTTAAGTACGATCATCATATCGGTATGAGAAAATTACTAAAACATTAATTCAAATAACTTTTTAGTTCAAAATGGCGTGTCACTAATATTACTAAGCATTGTGATTTCGTTTCCTTTCTGTATATTAACAACTAAATACCGACATTATCTCCTGTACACCCAAACTTGATACTACTGACTTCACATACAAAAAGCACCGTACAAACTTAGGGAATGTTTAAAATAAAATGAAAAGTTATCAACTTGTGGAATGATGATATTATCTTACATGAAAACATTTTAGGTCATGTGATGATAGGTAAAACAATCCACATGCATTTAAGCTAGAGTAATAATAATAACAGAAACGGTAATAAAAGAAATTCGATATATTTGACATTTACTCATTTACTGGAAGATTTGAGTAATTTCAACAGTATGAAGTTAGTACAAACACAATTCTCCAACTCAAGATATGATGGGTAAAGTGAACTTTAGGGCTATCTTCTTCTTAGAATTTTATTGATTTAAACAATGACAAAACTTAATTATTTCAAGATAACTAGATCTAAATAGTATGCGAAGTAAACTTGATTAAGAAGTTTACCAAGTATCGCAGATTCAATCGAATTATTTTTCATGAATAACCATCTAATTTTCTTAGTTAAAATTTAATTGTTACGCATGCACGTAAACACGTCAATTTGATATGATTTAACCATTACGAATTTGCCTTGGTCGAAAAACAAGAACGAGGATCGAGGATACGTGACACGAAATGTTACTGAAATTCGAGTGTCTCAACCCTCATTGAATGAAGGAAGAAGAAGTAGAACCTGTATTCTACAAGCAACCAGAAAGTATGAGGTCCGAGTCCAGAAGAGACTCGGGATCCCGGACTAAGAATCCGGGTCATAAAACGTTACAGATAATGCGTACATATACATTTAGGCCAAATATGCAACAGAACCAAAGTCTGTGACGTTGACAGTTAAGTCGACCAATAGGAAACAAAATTTGAGTGACATTAACAGTCAGGACGATCAACAAGAAACAACGTTGGAGTACATGACATTGATATCTAGGACAACCATAAAATTGACCCGTAGGAATTAACCAATAGGAATTGGAAAATAATTCTCTTAGGATATTGGATGAATATCCTAACATTAATGTAAAAGGGGGAAATATTTTCGTTTACATAAAAAATAAATCTAAAAGTAGTAAAAATGACCAATCACTTGGGCTGGAAATATGGACCAGTGGCTTTAAACTAAGTGGTCTTAAAGTAACACACCTGTCATGAAGTTTGAAGGCATCTAAGCTCAACCTCTGACTGGACTGTTGAACCCCAATATTGTTAGTAAATTTGAAAATCAAACAAAATAGCCTTCAAGTGCTCTTCAGTCTTCAATTGTTTTACAGCTAGTTTTACAGACATTTTTCATCAGCCGCCCCAACCCGAACTGAGAAACTTGAGCTCCACAAATCAGTCGAAAAAACTTTATAACGTTGGTAAAATATAGTTTGAACCATCATGTTGATGACATTAAGGACTGAATTTCGGTAATTCTCTGTTGTTACTGATGTTACAAACAGTAGAGATCGACTAGGTCAATGTCTCAAGAGAATACAACTACGGTTGATACCTATGATAAGTTATCTAAATCGGGTAGAACAGTGTACTGATTTTCATAATACCAGTTGTTATTCTGATTAGATAAAAATATTACTGTGAGAGTACAGAAAAGAACTGAAGTTAAAAAATATTTAAAATTTAAGCAATGGTTAATCCATAAAAATAATAACACAGTTCTAAACATCAACTATGAAAATGTACAAACCCCTATAGGAAGAATTTAAAGCCATTAAAAAAGGTTAGTGGCTATTGAGATTACGTGTTAAGAGTTTGAAGTGAAGGAATCTCGGTTTGAGTATCTGTATAGACACAAACAGTGGGACATAGATACCTCCGACTGATGAGTCTGGGAGAGTACAAAACACATGTCGTTGGTTCCATTGTTTGTCATAACCTATCACGTTTAAATAAATTCATTGGGATTTTATAACTCCACAAATAGTTTTAATTCATGTTTATTTTTTCAGTGAAATTGTTTGTACTAAATGTTTTAATATAATTTCTTAAGAGATTAACATACTGGTAGTCTAAGAATTTGAAGCATATTCGTAAACTATTAGTGTATTATTAGTTAATTAAGGTTTGAAGTGAATGTTATTTCCTTCATCTGCACACAATAAATAAGGCTTAAATGCTTAAAGCGAGAGAAAAAAACTACTTTATTATGTAACATACGTCGAATAAATATGATCACTTGTTCAATAGCAGCTTTTCTAGTGGTCAAATTTATTTGATCATCTGATAAAAGCTTCATCATCTGAATTAAGCACTCGATCGGTTCCAGAAATTTATTTCCAAAGTTTAAAGATGTAATTTGTTCACGATTCAAAATGAGCGAAGGTGATTTCGATCCAAGCTGTGTTACTAATTGATTCCGTAAACTCTCAGCACATGAACTTGAAGTAAAACCAAGAACTAATCTTCCAGTTTTAAAGATGTTCTTTTGAATAGATTCACTATCTTCATGACCATTAATCCTGATATCTATACGACAGTTATTTGCAGCTGAAGGTATATCATTTATATCGTGTCTATTTATTCTATTAGAATTTGGTTCATGTGAAAGTTTTCTCCAATGATATTGTAAACACCAATTAATAATAACAGCAGCTTCATCACGTACTTCATTAACGGGATGCAATAATAAACGACAACATGACATTAAGATGTTCATCAAACTACGTTTCTGAAGAAAAAACATATCAGATAATTAAATTAGAAATCAAGCTAATCAAGCATCTTTAGTACCAATAATATAGTAAGTGTATTATCATGATAAAAGTATAAACATTGCGTTATTTAAAAATATTTTTTTCTAGATATCTTGTATCGGATAGTCACATCAAATAATGTATATAACAGTAGATTATTAATGTACATCTAATATATATATATATATATATATATATATATATATATATATATATGTTACTTTGAACTTAGTTTTAGCATAGAAAAGCCACATTTACACATACATTGGTGAATTTGCACATAGTAATATCATAATGACTATACACCAAAGAAACATAATTTGAAGGAGGTGAATGCCTAAAAGAAAATCTATTAAATACACAACAATTGAAACTACCTATCATACTCCCCACTAAGATACAAAAACATAAAATGGATTGAACTTAAATACAAAACTATGATATCAGCAAAATTACAGTTGTAGATGACTGATCAACGTGGCAGCTCTAGTTCACGAGTTTATGATATTAGAAAGAAATTACAAAAATAAATACAAGTGAAGTTCTGTTTCGACCATTGATCCAGTGGTTGTAAAACAAAATTTGATCAAAAAACTACACTAACATGGACAGACCTTAATATGTTTTTTTTCACAGTCACATCTGTTCTCACTCTGAAGATAGGAAGAACACTTATTAGTAGGCGGTTAACTCGTTTATTGATAATTACTAAGTTGAAAGAATAAGTATAGTATATATTTCACCATCGTTTGAACAAACAAATGTAGTCAACTGGTAGTTCAACTTTTAAAATAGAACATTCTACGAATAAAATTTCGAAATAATAAAACAAGATGTTACAAATAACAAGGAATAACTCACATCTAAATTTTGTTGTTCTAGTTCTTGTCTCCCGAAATGACTCATGCGACCTAAACACCAATCTAGCGCCACACTACCAAGAGTATTTAATTTAAAATCTGTTGTTTGAGGTTCTTTTAAAGCAAATGGACCCAAAGAAACAGTAAGTGGTCTGAATACTTTTATCGATGAACTTGAGGAAGCTGGTTCCATTAATAAATGGTGTAATTTTTTCCATCCTGTATCACTAATATATGCATAGGAATTTAACAACAATGCAAATGCTTCACAAGCCAATGAAGCTACCTAATTAAAATAAGTAGACTGCACTTTTTTATGAATGAAACATTAGGAAAATAGTTTATCTCGATAATACAATAACATAATTGTATGATTAACACACTAAAACATTTATTATTATTTAACAGTAATTTCATATAAATAATTAGCATATGATGAATCAAGCCACAGATACTTATTTTTATTTCTTTAATTCACTTCATCAGTAGTAGATATAGAATTAGTAAAGTAGAATAACTTACTTTATAAATAAACTAAAGTATACCAAGCTAGTTTCAGTCAACGGTTTTTTGTCTACTGATAGGATTATATTTCAATAATGATATTTTAAATAAATGAGTAAATTAATTTACTGGACTTCAAGTTATTCTTTCTATTTATAAGCTAGTAAAACTAGCTGGTTACCTAACAGTGAATTAGGGGAAACGAAGTTAGAATGGACAGTTCTACAAATTGTTCTGCATACATTTGAACTGTTCATTTGATAATTGGCTATGCACATGGCAGATTTCTTATTACATAACAAGAATAACTCCGTAGTAAATACGATAACCCATACGCTACACCAGTTAAATGAATCGAAGAATTCAGTTATTTTACTTGTTTATGTATAGATATCCACAAAGATTTAACTCAACTAACGAACCTGAATTCCATCAAAAAAACTTAAATGAGCTAATAATACTCAGAAATCGTTCAATAAATCAGCTATTTGTGAACTGTATGGTCACATTTAAATGCTTACTGCAACTAGGCTTTTTATAATTGTTTAACTGTATGAATAAAATGTCTCATTAAAACTATACTAAAGTACGCAAACGAAATATATAAGTAGACAAAATGTGGATTCACGTAGTGCCTTGATCTAACAAAAGGATATCACTAATTAGTGATTTGATGACAAATATGCCATAACTCATTCCCATCAATTACGTACTTGATTAATCCGTCTTTATTTTCAGTCAGATATAAAAGTCATAACTCAGATTGTTGAATAAATAAATTTCGTTCAAAACTGCAAATGTCATCTTTGTAATGATGAAGAATTATACACCTTGAAATGTATAAAGGAAATTTTTTAAGGAAAATTTTTAAGGAAATCACTATCTTTATCGCTAATAATCATTTTTCTAATATGCAGTTCAACAAGCCAACTTTAAATTATATAAACAAAGATAACAATTACTTCTGGATTTGTATCTTTCAAGCCAAAATTAATCCATTCACATAGAATTTCATCTTCCAATAGAAAATTAATAGTATCCAAAGAAGAAGATGGATTCGCAACAAAATTTGGATGAATAGCAACCTATCAAAACATATTCGTCACAAACAAAAAAACATTGACATTTCAAGTAAAGTATTTTATTGAAATACATTTTCAACTATTCAAGATGCCGTAAGTATCACTAGGTGTTTATAATGAAGACCAAATTCACTATGAGAATGTCCATTAAATCTGATCACTATAAATTATATAATGATCAGTACTGTTTATCACAGATTAAGTAACAGCTCACTAGTAAACATGAATCCTATACTAGCCACATTCTAGTCCACATTATCATTTACAACATCTGATCTGTTTTCATGGATAACTTTCGTGAAAATGTTTGGATAATCATTCACTTAGAAAACGATGTATTAACCAAATTCAAGATCCACATAGGTGAAGCGATAACTTCTCATCCACTGTACTGCAAATATTGGGCACCTTGATTAGTCAACATAGGACACGGTCTCTAGTTGTGAGTGAAAAATAAACTAATTCGACTAAACATTATAAAGCTTAATAAAAAAGGATGCTAAACTTAGTCATTTTTCGTTTATATGAACTACAGGAGAAATGATAGCTACCTTGGCTATGACTTTATTGTGTCATCTGTAATTTATGATTAAAGACAGAAATTTGATTCGATTACAGCTCAAATGATGTCTAATGTGAAATAATTTCCCAAAAATCATGATAAGAAAGTATAATTTATTTGTTTGATCTTGAATAAACGAAAATTTGAGTTTTGGACATTCAACCTTATATATTAAAAAATATCCTAAACATTGTTAAACGTGTAGGGAATGATTTGTTGATAAAAACCAAATTTAAAAGTAATAAGGCGATAATATAGTTTTATTTAAATTAATTACAAATATTTTTAATCAGTCTAGTAATGTATGAACCATGGTAACATTCAACTGACAGCTAATTCTTCACTAAGGATTATTATTGATAAAACAATAATCATAAAAACAGAGGGCAGTGGACGACTATTTAAGATAGTCTATAAATGACCACTGACGAGCTGTTACAAGAATGAATAAAAGATATCTAGTTCTTGCAAACTAATCACTGACGTATGATTATATGTACCATATTTTCAGCTTCATTGGTTCACCTTGAGGTGAATTCCTAAAGATCCAGCGACCAATCGATTTCGACTGCGTTGGGTATGGGATAAATATCACACGCGAGGTAGAATCGTCGTTACAAATTATAAATTGACTGAAGTTGTGAATGTTAACCACTGGATATTAACTTAATTGACTAAATATTTGAAGTTCGCAGATGAGTACTGATGAGGAACTTCCTGATTTTCAATTAATCATCAGTTTATGTTGATCTATGATGAAAAAATTAACTCAAAAAATAATTGTATCTACTAGAAGTATTTTTAATGTTAATATAAGACTATTATGTGAAATGTCTCAATGATGAACTTGAGATTTTAAAATGTCAATTGAACTATGTTACAAACATAAACAACTTGAATATTCATACATGTTATTTTAGAAAAAAGAAATGAAACTAACTTTCAGTAGTTTAAGCACTTGAGAATAAGTAGCCTTACGAATCGCTACCAACTCATGGCTAAGTAATCGAAGAAGGATGAGCTGACCACGCCACAAAACAGTTGATGATGTACTTTGATGCTTTACATAGCTATGAAATTGTCGAAACACAAAAATATTATTTATTTTCAACACATAATAACTAGCGGCTACAATACAGTTTTTGAAAAAAGAGAACCACCAACTAAGGAAATAACAAGTGTAAACGACACCTACATGCTATTATTGGCTAGTGTTTAAAACCATTCCAGTTAATCAACCGGATAGTCCTACAGCCTACATAAATGATTGTAACAAATAAGCAAGTGATTATCTAAAGCAAACAAATCCACTCAATAATATATGTTACTTAATTATCTCCGCTCAATAAAGTAAAAAAAAGTGACGATGTACAAAATGAAGACTGAGGGTAAAACAGCATATTTGAAACATATTCAAGTCACCAATAACTGTGATGCATGATAAGTTGACTTGTTAAGAGCTATAACTGCTTTGTTTATGCGTAAAATCTAATCCCAGTATTATTCGAAAGACTTTGCAGTCAGAGGCTAATAATATCAATGAGATAAAAATTAAAAGATCGTAAAGAGCTATAAAACATCTTATCCGAAAACATAAATCTCTTAAACTTATGACAAGACTGTGTGGACTAAACCTATTGCAATTATATGAATCTTAAAGGTTTTCATAGATCATTGTTTTCTACTGCCATTCTTTCTGTAACAGATGCAGACAAACGTTTCGACCATATTTTATATTTCGTGAAATGAAGGAGATTAATTCTGGAACGTGGAAACGAATTTGAAAATGCCAAAACCTATTTCATCACATAATTCTTGCATATAAAAATAGTCTTTAGGCAATATTGCACTGTGACAGCCCAGATACTCTAGACTCCATCGTTTAAACGACTCTTCTTGATTTGTAAACCACTTAACTTAATATATTATATGCATCCACGTAATAGTTTCAGTGACTACAATAAATAGATGGCAAAGTAAATCAATACTTGTTTCATATGTAAACAAGCAATCACATTTCACCGTCTGATAATAAATTTAACCCAAAGGTGACATCTTTTCGACTCATCTGTTACTAAAATCACGTTAATTGTATGAGAAGAACATAGTAAGAACTAGTGCAGTTTCAGCTATTCAACAATTAACTTAAACATTATATATGAAATGGTAGGCACTACCAAAGGTTAAGATATACGGGTAGAAGAGATAAAACTCCCATGACTAGGTCAACAATTGATAAGATAACCAATGCGCCTTTTTTTATTTTCTGAACAAAATGCTTTCTGTAAGTCGGAACATGGAGTTTTCTGATGTCAAACAAAACCACTTTTCTAATTAAACGAAAACTATGTGATGAATGAATATATTTGCTATTCGTAAAAATTGAAGCAAAGACTCAGTTATTAATGTGTTAAACTTCCACCTATTTTGGCTTAGGTAAAAAGATAGTATCATTAAGCCTCAACATTTGGGACGTGGCTCAAAGTCAAGTACATGACTTTTTAATGATTTGGATCTGTTCATGAAAAACATTCTTACAATTTATTATAAAATCTAAAATTTCTAAATAAAATTTCAAAGATAAAACTTACAATTGACTGAGAAACTCAACAAAATTGGAAGCAAAACGCGTTGATCCAGTAATATCAAGTGAATCTACAGCGTCCATTGCCAAATTCAAGTTCGTTTCATTAATCTATCAAAGATATGTGCTAGACATTATTACCAATGTGAAATCATAAATAAAAGCAATGAAGTGAGCAAAAACTGTGCTTCACACTATGTCAAACATCCTTATTCTGAACGCTAATTATATTTTATCAGAAGCAATAAACATTTCCGTTTGAAGCAAAATATAACTGATCAATTATTAAAGTTTAAATAACATTGTACGATAATCTTAAACGTAGCACTTAAAAAGCATGAATTGTCCTTACAACATTAGGATATCATTGAATAGTGACAGCATAATAGAAAACACAAAATTTATGTGCATAGTTCACAAAAAAAGTACCTGGTCATTAGAAGAGGATAAAAGTGAAATTTCATTCATATCAAGAAAATCAATCAAATGAAACATGGATTTTTGAAGCTGTTGAAAAAGTAGCCATGTTGAATAAATTGTAAAATTGAATAAAGCTACATAGGCTGGTAGTCCAATTTTTTGTGATTCATGCATAGGTTCCGAGTTAATTAGTAATGACACATCCAATAGAGCAACAGACAATTGGTTCTTAACGTCAGTGGAGAGAACAGCTAATGCCTGAATGATCAAAAGTTATTGAATTTTAGCTGTAAAATTTATAACGTTAAGCAATAAAACAACCAAATAATTAGGGTGAAATATATGACTCATGTTACTCCGTAACTGTATATAAAATGACTTAATAATAACTAACCAACATAAAAACCTTAAATTTTCATGTAAACTGTTAGTTTTTACGACTTTATTGATTTGAATATGGTTAGTACCAAAAGACGGCATCATCTGACGAACCTCAGGAACTTAAGAGTACAGAGCATCTGTTTCATTTATTGAAGGCCTATAAATCATTCAATCTATAAGCGATTATCGCCCGATTTAAGGTAGCTTCTAAAACTGTGCAAACATCGTTTAACATATCTGTTTCTTATTGAGCCAACTAGTTGTACTGGGATTTTCTACAGTATTAGAAAACACCAACCTGTTTGATTGTCAAAAGAGCTGAATGTCGTATATTAAATTCTCGAAGCGATTTTAAAAAATATTGTCTAATACTTACTGGTCCGAAATTCAGCTAAAAGATTCGAATGTCGTATTTAAATCAGTATATGTTATGCATTAAGTACTTCACGAAAATTCGAATATAAAGTAGCATGATTCAATTTATCAAACTATTAGTCGGACAGTATAATTTATTCTTAAAACTGTCTACTACCAAAAAGTAAAATTTTTTAGTTTAGTAAGTTTATTATAAAAAGTAATCATGAGTTTAATTGAGGATTAAACATACCGTTTCTGGAGTGAATAAAGAACTTATTAATTGAAATATTTTAGTAATCAGACCAACATAGGTTTGTCTCTTACATTCACCAGGTAAATTAGCCTTACTAATATAGGCGTTCATCTCAGAAGTATCCCAACTGGTTGGAGATTCTGTAACTGATGTATTATCATGAATGTGACTGGTTGAATAAAGGGATAAAACTGAACCTAATTGCTCCAAACATGTATAAAATTCATGTGGCTAAAGTACAAAATAAAATAAAATATAAAACTCCTCATTATTTAGTATAATTACTTCTAATTTAAAAATATTTCATCAAAACTACATAATACATCCAAATCGAATATTGTACAATGGCTTAAACTAAGGAAATTGTGTGTACCATATAGGAGAAGACCTACAAATAAATTCATATACGAAATATGTTGAGCGATATTTGCCAATTAAATCTTGGAAACTGTAGTCATGGTCCGCTAGAATACAATCTTAAACAACCGAACTGAATACAGTACAGCAAAAACGTGAACTAGAATTACTTTCGACTATAGATCCAAGTTAGTCTAAACTTAAATTAAATTCATTGAAAATTTCTTGTAAAATATCAACCTTCAAACTAAAACAGTCACACATAATTAACTCATCAATTGCTCGATATCTCTTATATGGTGTTGGTTAATTATGGGTGAGTTCAATAAACGTTATCGAGCATTTATCATGATAAAATGCGGTAATACAGTTGCAAGTCATGTATAATGAATATTATTCAAGTGTTAGAGTATTAGAATGTTAAATTGACGTTTATAAATTAATAATCTTCTTTTGCAACTCAATTATTATAAATGTTTTGCCCCCATATATCACGGTAATTACACTATTTAATCTTATTATTCACACAAATTATAGTCAGAACTCACCAACTCAGAAGATTTAATAAGGTCAACATTAGGAGGAACAATTAAGAATACTGTGTTGATAAATGACATGGGGTCATTTGATTGATTATTTTGGTTAATTTCGCCAAACCGAGTTGCATGACGGTGAGGAGATAAACAAATCAGCAACAAATTGATTCCAATATCGAGAAGAAGCAACATATTAGACTCTAATTTATATTCCCAGTCATGATTGTTATAACCTGTATTGGTGTTTGACGTCTTAGAAATGTCTTGTTTTGTCAGCTGGTTTCGATGATTTAAGACTATTATTAAGCCATTGGCTATTACGCTGAATAATTGAAAACAAAATTCTAGCGTTGAATACGACTGTTTCTCTACGTCTTCGTGGGAGTCCAAAACTGTTATTCCTGGTGTGTCAGATACACAAATGTTAGGTTGTCTTGAGTCATTAATGGGCGTGAAACATGTTTGCTCAACCTGACTGAGGAGTTTAAAAAATTTAGAGTTTAATAAAAAATACCGGTTATACAAAAGTTATAACGTGAACGTCTTGAAAAGTTAGTTGAAATCGAATAATCAGATAAACAACCACAGCAATAAGTAAAAATACTCAATTTTCTGACATCTATTTAATGGGCTTCGCGTTTCACGATAACACTAATTCTAACATACAACTTCGTCTATTCGCGTTAGATAACTCCACCTGCAGACCCCTTTGAGGCTACTGTCCGTCTCAAGCCCGGATAAAGGACGAGGGTTGAGGTTGGTGACTCCATCCCGCAAAAAACTAACTTGCCAAAAAAAAGCTAACAAGAAAAAATCATTCAAACCATATAAACTCTGCTCTGGCAGCTAGAAGGTCTTCATTTAATAGAGTTATGACGTATCATGATGAAAGCCAAGTTCTTTCGGAAGTCATGAGGCTGATGCTCCTTCTAACAACCAAAACTCTTCCACGGGGTGGGCGGCCAGGAAATAACATCCGCCCTCATACCCATAAAGGCACACGAGACCAAACTGGTCACAAGCAAATCCTTTATACACCCTCTTAATAAATCTCTTATCTCCTCAAACAACTCTTCCTTCGATCCTTTATCACCTCGCGCCGCTGAAGCAAATGATTCAAGCTCGCAAAACATTATTCCCGGTCTCCTGAAACCCTGTACTAAATTACATACTGGAGCTTTTAATGTTCAAACCTTGTGCCAAATAGGGCAATAAGCTTCATTAGCAAGAACTCTGGAATCCCGGGCGATCAATGTGTGTTGCGTCTCCAAAACGCGCATACAAGATCCAAGTAAAACCATCAGTTTGATTTCACCTTGTTCAGAGAGAGAAACAACAAGGTTTACGCTTAGTGCTTCAGATAGCCCTGATGCTGCTTCGCGTGGCCTCGCCGGCGTAGGTATCGTAATAAGTCCTAGGGCAGAACTAAATATCTTAAACTGGATCCCGGCTGAAAGTTGCTCATGCGCTGTCCGACTAAACGGCACGGCACGGACTCAGAGGGATAGGGACACTCGCCCTAGCTTCTTCGTCGTATCTGCCTACGCTCCCACTGACTGCAGCTCAGACGAGGTGAAAGATGAGATTTACAGAAAGCTTTCGGACCTCCTCCAAAACGTTAGGCGCTCTGATATAGTTATAATGGCTGGTGATTTTAACGCTCAAGTAGGTAGACTAGGTGAAAAGGAAAGACTCCTGGATGGATCTTATGGTGTCGCGGCTCAGAGAACAGACAATGGTGACCGTCGGTTGCAACTGTGCTCAGATAACCGCCTATTTCTAGCGAACACTAACTTTAAGTATAAGGAAAAACATCTTTTGACCTGGAGAGCCCAAAGTCTCCTCAACGTTAGACCCAACTAGATGACATCGCTCTGTTGAAAGACTGCCGCTCATTCTGAAGCACTTGTTTAGACTCAAACCATACTTTGGTGCGAGCGCGTATTTATTTGCGTCTCGTTGGGCGTAGGAAAAATATCGCAAGAAAACCTCTTGGACGCTACTTAATGATAATAAAGCTAAGTATATATTTCAGGAACAACTAGAAAAACAGTTAGGAAGCCATGCAGTAAGTGATGCCCACACTGAGGCAGCTTGGAATGATACCAAAAGGGCTGTGGAAACGGGAGTGATGTCTGCTAGTAGGGTAAACCATAAGGCTAGGAAGAAGCCGTAGATTTCAGTAACATTCAGCGAACTGATGGATGCTCGAAAACTCATCACGTATGGCTCTGAGTACGATGAGGAGCGGAGTCAGCTTAGGCGCAGGCTGATAAAGCCTACGCAATGACCGTGAACACTGGTAGGTAGCGAAAGCAGGAGCGATGGAAAAGGCAGAGGTGATAAGCAACAGCAGACAATAGTTCCGACTTATCGAGGAAACCGGTAAAGGAATTCTGAAGCGAGTGACAGCAGCGGGTACTGATAGATTTACACCTGAAAGTTTTAAGGATGGTGGTCCAGTTTTAGCAGCTAGGTTGACTGAGATCTTAGGTAGAATCTGGGAACTGGACGTAATCCCATCCGACTGGTCTCAATCACTGATTGTCCCAATCTTTAAGAAGGACACAAGTCTTGTGACAATCACAGGCGAACCAGTCTAACTAAAATAGTTTCTAAATTATTGGCCTCGATTATCCTCGGACACCTAACTAGAGCTCGAGAAGAGCATACTAGAGAAAACCAGGCTGGTTTCAGACCTAGACGTGGCTGCATAGACCACATTTTTAGACCACGACAGGTCCTGGTACACAGACACAGATTTGGGCATCCGAAAATAGTTGTCTTCCTGGACCTTTAAGCAGCATTTGACTATGTCGATCGTGAAGTTCTGTGGCAGTGTCTGTCATTGAAAGGTGTACCAAAGAAGTACATTAACCTTATACAAGCTCTCTACTCGAACACTACAGGTCGAGTTAGAGCTTATGGCGAACCGTCATCAGAATTCTTTACTTCAAGTGGTGTCCGTCAGGGATGTCCATTCTTTATATTCTTGTTTAACTTGGTCGTAGACGTCCTTTTAGAGTTAACATTATCATCGTCTGATTTTTCAGGAGTGGACCTTTTATCAGGAGACACGCCTACTGACTCAGGATATGCTGATGACATAGTCCTATTCGGCGAGGACGCTGACAAAATGCAGAGTCTTCTGACCACCCTAAGCAACAATGCAAGCACATCCGGGATGCGCTTCTCACCTTCAAAATGCAAAATGTTGCTTCAGGATTGGGTCTTATCGGTACCTGAACTAGTGATAGGGAGTGAAGTAGATGAGCGTTTCGACAGCCTAACTTATCTTGGAAGTGTCATAAGTGCTGATGGCCTGGTGACTGACGAAATCTCAGCACGGATACAGAAAGCTCGATTGGCATTTGCTAACCTGCATTGCTCGTGTTTCATAGGACAACCGAGTAAGAAATGCTGTCGTTAGGAAACGGGTCCTCAATAAGGATGGCAGGTCAATAGATGAAGTATTGAAACTTCATCAGTTGAGGTGGGTTGGGTTTTGTGTTACGTATGCCCAACCACCGACTACCTCATCGAACTATGTTTGCGATGTAGAAATAGGGTGGAAGAAAGATAGGGGTGGCCAAACAAAAACAGCAGAAATTCATGAAGTTACTGAAAGGTGGACTACGTTATGTTGGTAGGTGTCGACTACATGGTTGGGGTCCGCGAGATTATAGAAATCGATGGTTGGAGACCCTGAATGATACGACTCGAAACCGTTTGCAATGGTGACGGTGCATTCATTGTTTGTGTTCTGTCAAATCCTAAACTTCCTAATTCCTCATCACTTTATCTTTTTCTTTTTAAGTTTATTTCACTAGATTCTACTTCTTGAATAATATCTTCGAACCCTGATCTCTCCGATTATTCCTAATACTTTTACTACCTTTACTACTATGGAATTTGAATTGACAATTGCATCTCTGTGCTAATGTGGTATGGCAACTTGAACTGATGTACGTAAGTACGAAGTTCAACGTTGCTTTTGATTGATTGATTGATTCGTGTTAGATGAAAAATCAATGAAGACATTCAGGTAGAAGGAGGCAAGTTTATTACAAATATCCAAATGCTTATATAGTAGGCTCAAATAGCCTTAAAACCATGAAGTGTTGTAGCTGTTCAAATTATCACATTGTATGAAATCGCTGTGAAGAGAACAAAATAATGACTAAGTATACTCAGTTCATGTCTTAATTATTTTAAATGATTCAAATTCACAACTCAAAATCGAAAACGTGTTTTAATGTTACCATTTTGTCGTTTAAAAACAAGTAAATGATACTAAAAAACACTGAATTAAGATATCAGAATACTAAGTCCTATCTGGAATCGAAAATTCGGACTACAAGATTACAACTCATTCGTTATAATTCAGCCTATTACAGCCTATTACATGATAAAGGATCTGCGTTTCACAAGATTTGAAAACAAGGGTGGAAAAGATCAATGACGAATGGTGGAGAGCCTACTTTTTGTCAATGTTTAGGAGACATCAAACTATATGGAAAAAAATTCAAGATCAACGAAGAGCCTAGTGCCAAATAGGTCAACTTTAGTCAAGATTAACAATGACTTTATGGGCAGTAGGCAATTTTCGCATTTTTAATATAATACAGAGATAATAAGGTAACTGATATTCGACTTTTATCATGTTAAACAAAATGTTCGAAGTTATAGCCAACAACTGTGATAATATTACGGTAAGTATAGATTGTAGCTAGCCGTGGAATCCAGAAGGAGCATTTCGTTAAATTTGAGACCAGTAAACTGCACCCAAACCCTGATGTTCACAACGTAACTACAGCCGGCAATCCAACTGTTCTATAAAATTCGTGATAATATGGCTATATCCAGGCAATTAGCACAGAAAATACAATTTTCAACCAGGACTGAACAAAACTCAATTATGATTATTAAAAATGAAATAATTCAAACAGTCAGTCAGTCATTATCAACGTATAGTTCAGTATAGATGATCGTTCGCCTAAATGGCTATAACAATTTAGCACGATTACATGAAATTAACACGTTCACTAGCAAAAGAGATAGAAATAACGTAGCAACACTTATAATGAGAGAGACTAAATAATGAGATATATTTCAAAAAGCTAGTGGAAACTTATTTAGACAGTACATTCAGTCTTATGGTGTCTGATTATCAGGCTTAAAAATTTTGACACATTATATGTACACTTACTGTGTTTCGAAAGCTCCAGAGAACGTCATCCATTCACCAGTTTCTGAGGTATGGGCTTAAGAAATTTAATAGTATATTTTCTTCATCATTATGATTTTTAGATTCAAGAACAAAATCCATACGTAATGATTTAATAAAACATTTAGGTTATATATATGGGAAAGACCACTATTAACTCCAATATTTACATGCCAATTTCCGTATATATATAAAAATTGAATTCTGATTAAAGGTTTCAGAAAGGATGTATGTAATCTATCGCTGGTATTATATGACAAAGGAATTTACAAATATCATTGCCAACAAGATTACTAGACATTTAGGCTCAAGTTCACGAGATAAAATTCGACTTAAGAACCACACTACACAGAAATTATTCGATTTACTGAGTAGTTATTGAGGGTTATCAAATAGATGAGACTAATTCCAAAAAGCCAAGCCTGAGGATTACGAAATCAAGAAAAATAAACTCGGTTTAAACCCAACACGCAAAGCCAAGTTTAACGTATACCAAATTTATGGTTTCACTTATTTGTACAGTATGTAAAGCTAGGAGCTGGACAAATTTTGTACCGCTACTTAAAGCGTTTAATTTTAGTCCATTTACTAAAGTCTAGAAAGTTCTAAATCCACTTCAAACAGTGAAGTCTTGACGTCCGAGGTGGGAAAAGAAAATAGCAATGCAACAACTCAACTTTTTTCGGAATACCGGTGATGATGCATGGAACGCCAACCCATAAATCCGTCGCATTCCGTCAGTAACAGTTCAAGTTCTAATTATAAAGTCTACCTCAGTGGTTATCAACATCACCCCAATAAGAGATAGGTTTTGATAGTAGTAACCATTAAAAGAGAAAATCTCAGAAGTTACCTTTTTGATAAATTGGAACTACCTACAACCAGAATAACTGAATAGAATTCGGGATGCATAAAAATTTCAAAATTTAACAGACTGTTAGTGATAATCCTTAAAAATTGTAATTATATATATATGCTCAAACGTCTTCAATCACTAATTTTTCTAGGTTGTAAGACCTGAAAATAATTTTGTACAATAAAATTTCAATGTTTCCCAGCTACAAACAGAAAATTTTGAGTACACTAAATATCATTTACTACAATCTTCTCTAATATTGAAAGGATCAATTACAAGAGAAAATTAATTTTACTTGCCAAACAGAAAAATCTATACTCTTCTAGAAATTCACAAGAAGTGAAAACAACCGTGAATCATCAAGATAATTACCCTTTAAGTTATATAAAGATTATCAAATGACATAATTTTGTGAATAATCTGGGTTTACCTTTTATGTCAAGAAATGAGTTTTCATAAGAACTTATCCAACGATAAAACAAAATTTTTCTTTTGAAACCCCGTAAAAAGAAATTCACTGAATTTAGCATTGGAATTATACTCTCTGTATTCCTTTTTATTGAACAGGTTTAATTCACAGATGCTTGTTTATTCCATGTCTCTAGTTACATAAAGTTAACAACGAATACCCTAACTTCCGAAACTAGGGGTGTATGAGTATTACCAACAGAACTTAAAAAACGACAGTTTCTTAAGAAAGATAAGCTTACGACTTGAATATGTGTAACTGTTAGGATCCAAATGATAATAAACCCTTCTGATAAGAGCACGACAAAAGCTAATCAAACAGCTGGTAGTTGAATAAGTGATTTCCAAATTCTCTTCATTTAAAATCCGAAAAAGATTCTAGATAAATGAAAACATGTAGAGATATAAAAACTGGTAAGAATGCAATGAATGGAAGATATGTGAAGTTAAAACTAATATGTTTCAGTAAAGTATGATACATCCAAGTATATTATGTTGTCAAAAACTTTTTAATAATAATCATAACTTAAACCAACCATCCATCATTGTTATTAATTACTAAAATTACTTTATTTGTTATGATAACCAGCAATAAAATTATGCATTGAGATGAAAAACATAAAAAAGTGATTTTATCAGTCAGTTAGTGTGTCATGAGCAGAGTAGGACCTAGCAAATATATGCATCTATTCAAGTGTCCATACAACAACACGGCAAAATGTTAAAGTAGTAAAAATAGTGGCAGGATCAGACACGAAAAAAGGTTCAAGAATGGAACTTTAATCACTGGGATTAACGCATAAAATTTTCCTCTTTAATGTCTTAAAATAACTCGGCACCAAACTACTAAGAAACTATTCTTTCAAGCCTTACGAAAGTTCTTATATATGATTCTACGTTTCGAATAACTATTTACAAAAATCTTTCTAACCCTAACCAGATAGTCTGCATCTAACTACATGGCTTAGTTTAACAGTCATTAGACTTATGAACTGATGTCGAGTTTCAGTTTGGCTGCTTCTTACATTCTTCTAGCCTTCTCCTACACCAGCCATCATCAAATGTTGAGGTAGGTGGCGATTAAGCATACGTGATATGTCTCAACTCCCTCAGTAGACGAAGATTTACTACCTCGCCAACTGATTTACCACTCTTACGTAGAATACAATGTCTAACGTTAGTACTCTTCAGTTAGTATTTCAAAAACACACGAGCGATTCCTCAAAGGCAGATATGATCCTTCCATCTTAATATTCACATTTCACAACCATGAAGATGGATAGATTAACAAAACTTAGTAATCAGGTGGCAATCCCTTCACATGGCTTTCAGTGCGGAAAATAAAGCAGGAAAGGAAATTTCAGAAAGTAAGTGTGGGGTCGAAAATAGTTTAAAGCCTTCATTAACAGGTTTTTATCTAGAGCGTACAAGACTCTAATTATGATTTCCGGCACTATTTGACAACCCCTCAAGCTAGTTATTTACATAGCTCTTATGATCTTATTCAGGTATTATTAGCACATCAACAAATCCAAATGTAAAACCACTCTCTTTTACTCAGATATGACGCCATAAAACTCAGCTGTTTACAATACGCACTCATGTTATCAACCGCGGCTAAACATAAAAACACAAATTTACTACCAAATCAACATAATGAGGATATCAAAAACAGCCCTGATATCCACATATCTGTAAGAGCTTTATGAAACTAACAATTAGTCGCCATGACCGGTATACTCATATTTCTATAGTTGTTAATATCAACAACTAGATCAAAGAAATAAAACATCAGTTTGACCGGAAACAAATTTTCCCTGATCTCATAGACTCGGGTTTCAAATATAAAGATAGGAAGAATATTTTATGAGTGATAATTAGAGAAAAGATAATTAACAAAATATTTAGTCTATACAACACTTAAACCAAAAACTTAGCTCATGGTGCCGAAATAACCGAGGTAGTGAAATTTGGAATGTTAATGTGCACACTGGTGCTTACCTTAATGAAATCAGTTCTTTGAAGAAACAATTCAGATGGAAAGTCTTTAAGTACAACATCGTGAAAAAAGCGAACACCAGAAATACAAACACTAGGTTCTTTTGAGCAAATAGATCTAGAAATTTTTATGCTTTGATAAGTGAAGACAATAACTTACTTTAAAGTTGTGCATAAAACACTAACATCACCTTCTGTGAGCACAACAGTAGGAAAATACAAGAGGTAGTTTTCTGAGACAGAGAAAAAAGTATAAGAATAGTTAAACTTGAAGTTTAACATGAATAATTAAAAAAGTATATACTCACTATTACTGACTTGACACAGAATCAAACTGTGAGTAAATTTTATGAAGCTAACAATCGAAGCTTATGATTGAGTACACTGTGACATAACTCATAATCAGTCGTTTTCCTGATGCATTTACCGTAAACCATAGTTAACACTTGGTACACTCAGTTTTTATTTATTTCACCTTCTTGGATTGCCTAAATTTCCTTTTCGTTCTGATTTTGCGTCTATCTTTTGTTGTGAAGCTTAGCAAAATAAGTCTGAAAAGTCTAATAAACAAATATTTTTCAACGCTATATCTATATCTCATTCGACTAACTTAGAATTCAGGCCTTGAGAAACTTATTGTTGCTTTCAGCTATGATGAAAAGTGATGGATAAAACCAGGAATACAAATAAATAAAATGTAGCAATAAATGTCTAGAATATCAGTGCAACTACGTTTTAATCACAAACACAATGAAGACAATAGATTTAGCTGAAAGGTATAAGATACTTTTAAAAGCATAGTTTCACAGCTTTTCAGCTAGCCACTGAATAACTAACTTTGAATGATCTTGATGATACAGCTTCACAAAGTTAGGGACAATGTGTGCAAATATTTCTTAGCAATATCAGTGAACAATCTTAAAGTAATGGGGTGGTGTATATTTAAGCATGAACGTAAATACACTGTAATCATGAACGGAGGCTACGTTTTGACAGAAATTCACAGAGTATTTTTCAATTAGGTCATAAAAGCAAAGTATAAACTCACGGCGAACTTGACTCGATGAACTAGAGGATGTTAAGTGGTTGACGTCTAAATTACTTGTATTGCCTTGCGAGCCAGACAGATTGAATGAAACTTTACGAGTTCGTGAAGGATCGATCAAAGTAGGCAGTTCATTACTGGAATCGCACGAGTTGAAATAACTATGTATTTGGATTCCATTCGGAAAGGTTATCTTCCGGTCTCCAGCAGTTTGAATTAAGGACGAATCTTCAGTTACCAGAGCGCATATGTCATCAATATCCTTTTTTAGCTCACTGTTTGACACAATACTACGCATCTTTGCAAACACAGGCAACCCGCCAGCTAATGTTATGAGTTCTTTAGTATCAGGATTCTAGAGCAGTGACTAAATAATTAATCTCTATGCTTACCAGTAGCAGTACTTTGAACATCACAAAAATACGACTAGTTTCAAGAGACGAACTACTCTCTAAATAAAACAGCAACATTTCGACCAGTTTCAACAAACATTTCTTATCTGATGGTAGTAAACCTCGGTTTAGTTTCGATTGGATATTAGCCAAAGTACGACTTCTTATTTCTTCTAGAGGACTATCTTTTACAGAAAATTAAAATTTATCATTACGAATTACTCAATTTCTCTATCAGTATGTTAAACTGGTCAGTATTACACATTTTGAAATTTGTTTGCGTCCTTCGCTTAGTGAAGTCGTATTCCCGCAAGAAGTATTGGAAACCAATCGGATTTCCGTAATTCTGATAACCTTCAAACTTGAAAGTTCATTTGTCCTATATGTTTACTGAATATCCAGCTAACGTATTCTCTTATTCCTCGCACCCAATCCTTTAAAGCTACAGTGGTTACGAATTAAAATCCTCCAAGTATGTTTTCAGGCCTTTAAGATAGACTACCCTTTAAGTTTCTCTTTATTAAACAAGCTCCAAGAGGATGATGCCCTTAATTACTTAAGAAAATATATTCCATGAGTCCTTCCTAAACATTATCCAAAGCGTACATCAAAGATAGTCCTAGATAATTTATTAGCAAGGCTACCTTCTGATCAGCAAAGGACCACTAAGATAAACCTTTATTCACTGGCTTCGGAATGCCCAACGACAGTGATGACCAGATTCTCCTGTGTGTAGAATAGTGTGATATATATGAATCACACAAAAAGAGAGTGGTAGCTGTATATCTGCAGGTATTCATAAATAATAAGCAGTCAATAAGAATAAGGAGGTTTCTGTCGTTCAAACTGTAAATTTGTTTTTAGAACTGTTTCATCAGTACAAAAGTCAATGAAAAGATAGAATAGACTGCAGCGCATCTGATCTTATTAGCCAGAAAGTTTAGTCCACTGTTCCATCAAAACCTTAACCATCATTCAAATAAGGCACCGATCCTACCCATTTATGAATTCTGGTTTGACTTGGTTGTGGGTGCTGTCGAAATGTAAGGTGATACAGACAAAAGTGCAGTCCAATTCTGAATATCCATTACATTCTCATTGGTTAGCCGGACATAATCTTGTACAATAGACGAGATACTATCAGTTTCTCCCTTATTCTAAGGATGCATATTCTGACACATCGTGATATTACTTTCGTGTTCACAATTTTTTCTCCTGTATTTATGAATATTCTATTCTCATCATGTAAGGACTGACACTTAGGCTTCTTGAGATTGGGAATATTTGGCTGTCGAACCTACAACTAATGACGTTCTGGTCTAAAAATACCGAAACCTGATCTTGGCATGTAGGAGCTGACTTGCATGGGCACAATGTGACAGATACATGAGCGCAATTTCTAGCACTATCGCGCCGGTTGAACAGTATATTTACTGGTGATAATTTGGAACATTATTATACCCAGAAAATGTTATTTTAAACTTGAAGGTTTAATCAACCAACAAAGATCATACCAAATTTTACGTAACATAGAACAACAACAAGGTTGGGCACCAGAACTGTTCTTGTGTATACGATAATTCATTTGTCAACGAATTTTCGACGAAGATATGCTCCAAAAAATCTGCCTCTATTAATGTCCCAAACATGCGCATCATTTCAAAACAATGCTGTGGATGAACTATCGACAACTGCCCATCGATTTCTATAACAGAGCGGAAATCATGACTCTAAAGTGCTCATAGTTTAGTGCACTTCTGGTGAAAGCATACTATCTCGAACCAGGTCCAGTTTTATCAGCTGAAGTTAAATAGTAAACAAATCACCACTAACTGAAAAAGGTGTCTTCACCTTAATGTGAGTTTATCTCAATCCATTCACTGAATTTTCGATGTAGCAGGCGTGTCATTGCCAACCATCGTCATAAATACTAAAACCTACTTGTTGACGGAGGTTAGTAGGAGTTGATAATAAACTATCTGTTTGTTGAGCTTAATTATTCAGCTGGATATCCCAGTTAGGAATAAAGGAATAATCCGGACGTTCGTCCAACCAATAGTCGACAAGTACCCGAAAATGTATTACTTACAAACCCCTGCAACTGTACACATAGTACAATAAGCAAGCGCTCAGAAATTAGTCGTTTAATGTTAGAGTGCGAAAAGAATATTGGATATTGGAAATGCGACCGCGGTCATATTGTGTGGTCAACAACTCTGCACATAATATTGCAATAGGGTCACCTCTATTCTCTAAAGCACTTTAACTTGCTCTTCAAAAGATGAGATTAGCAAAATTGATTGACTCTGTATGACAGATCTAGGAATCATTCAACCGTCAAATAACGATAGATGTATCAGTTGCAAATGGTTCATAAGATAATGGTAATGAATAGCATCTAACTGGTGATTGTCAGCAACCCGGAAAAATAACCACTTTCTATCGTTAATCGTTAGCTTATATCCACGACTTAACAGAAACCTTAATGTGTTCAACTGTTCTCTCAAAGTTTCAATTTGTTTTTAGCGAACAAGCGAAACATTTGGCAATGAAACAGGATTGAAAGAGCTATCACCACAACATTTGAACTCTAGGAATTTCCGTGAATGCTTTTCAATTTGAAAATGCTGCTGAAAATTTTCAGCGATTCACTGACAACATCTTTAATGGTGTCTTCCAATGTTTGTGACTGCGCAATCACAAATGCTGGCAGGGAATCTCATATCCGACATCCGGAATTTGTTTGCCAACAACCTCAAAACCGTAAAATTATTGTGAAGATACAATAGGAACCGATCCCCTTGACTTCGTTGGACATAAAATTTACACTCGTTTTGTTCATACACTAATACGTAGGGCTGCAGTAATTTTGGAATACCCAGAACCGATAACGATCAAGCAAATACGCACGTTAAACGCAACCGTACCGAAATAATAAGGATAAACAGCGAAGAAATATCGGATATTCGACAGAGAGGTTACTGCTGATGGTTCAGACTGAATTGCGCCTCCAACCTCCAACCATGTGGAAAGGTGAGAGCCATTACCTTGGACGACGCTACGAAGAAACATTTATTATTATAAAAGAACTTATCGTGAAGTCAACTATGCTGTCAAACCTCGACACCAAATCACTCATTCAAATCACAGCAGATGCTTTGGACTTTGAAATCGGATAAGCCTTACAAATATGAGTTAACAATTCCTTGTAACATTCAGGGTTCTACTTGAAATGGTTACTTGATATTGAATCGAGGTTTACCGCTTTCGGAAGAGAACTAATGAAGTACGCTACATGGAATTCTCGACCCCCGGCGTTAAGCCAAATAGTTATCTTTTTCGCATACAGTTAATCTTTAACTCTTTCTTCTAGCTCATCTTTAGTCAAATACTACCCAAGCGAGTCCGGACAGTTGGTCTATAGCTCACAGCCTGCCTCAGACATACAAATTATATCAGGAGTAAATAATGTAGTTTCATACACCTATTCTTATACAGCTACCATGGACATATTCCAAGGAATCGACCATTACATGCTCGCTCAACTCAAAAAACAAAATAATTGGTCAACGACACTGGAACTATGGATCAAGCTGGCAAAATCGGGTATGTAAACTTTATTTTTCTACCGCTCTGAATGCAAATATCATCCAGATATGCCGAAATATCATGGATGCAATTGTTAGGTTTGTCACTTGGTACGCTTGAAGCTATTATGGGTTCACCTAAGTTGATAAACACGAACGAGACAATGAACCAGAGTCCAGGTAGACTACCTTGATCTGAAACGTCTAAAGAGAAGTCTTGATAAGCGAAGAATGTATATCGTACAAACACCAAACAAGCACAATGAAATCAAGTAGACAATTCGCGTTTATTTATACATCATAGAAACGTCCTTAGGACAGTCGCGAAAATAGCATACGAAAATACACAGCAGGAAATCACAGCCAAGGATTTCCCTGGTGGGAAATGAAATCTCAAGGTCAATTGATCAGCCAATGCTCGCAAACGTGAAATCTAAAATAAGGCATTTATTAAGCGAGTTCTGCGGATCTAACCTCCTCAACGGCAATTTCTTCCTTGACAGGTGACAACCTTATATTAGAACAAGAAGGTATCACTATAAACTGACCAGCTTTTTTGGTTGGAGAAAACTGGTCGGCGGCCTGTACTTCATTTAGTAAACTGACCGAATCGCAACACTGTAGATCATTGGAACACAATCAATTGAATGAAACTCAATACTTTACATCAACTTCATTGGCTAAGAGGAAGCATTCAGTAGTGTGGACAGAACAACACAATGGAGCCTTCCTCGACACTACGGCATGTCTGAGACGACGTTCAAGGCCATACAGAATTCTTATGATGCATTAAACTGCAAAATAGTGCACTAAGGACAGCTGATAGACACGTTCGAGGTGAAGACTGGTGTGACGCAAGGTTTCTTACTCTCACTCTTTGTCTTTCCACAGACTTTGACGTCTGGAGGGAAGCGCAGTATGCGGTGTACATCTGGGATGCATTCGGATGATTTGTACTTCGTAGATGATGATCTGTCTCTTCTATCGCACATGCAACAGCAAATGAAACAGATGACGACCAGTGTAGCAGCAGGTCTCAACATACATAACGAGTGAAGCAAGATTCTCCAATAGACCACAACATCGGAAAAGCAAGAGTTGCATTTCCACAACTGAAAAAAAATCTGGAACCCCAAACAACTGTCAACCAACATAAAAAGCAGCATTTTCAATACAAATGTCAAGATAGTTCTAGTGTATGTAGCGGAAACTTGGATAACTCCAAAGGAATCATCCAGAAGATAAAAGTATTTATGAACAGTTGTCTTCGCAAAATACTTCGGACTCGTTGGCCAGGCACTATCAGCAACAACCTACTG